TAGGGGTGGTGAATGTAGCGTGTGTCAGTGACCAGGTGTGGTGAATGTAGCATGTGTCAGTGACTAGGGGTGGTGAATGTAGCGTGTGTCAGTGACTAGGGATGGTGAATGTAGCGTGTGTCAGTGAGTAGGGGTGGTGAATGTAGCATGTGTCAGTAAGTAGGTGTGGTGAATGTAGCGTGTGTCAGTGAGTAGGGGTGGTCAATGTAGCATGTGTCAGTGACTAGGGGTGGTGAATGTAGCGTGTTTCAGTGACTAGAGGTGGTGAATGTAGCGTGTGTCAGTGACTAGGGGTGGTCAATGTAGCGTGTTTAAGTGACTAGAGGTGGTGCATGTTGCGTGTGTCAGTGACTAGGGGTGGTCAATGTAGCGTGTGTCAGTGACTAGGGGTGGTGCATGTTGCATGTGTCAGTGAGTAGGGGTGGTGAATGTAGCGTGTGTCAGTGACTAGGGGTGGTTAATGTAGCGTGTGTCAGTGAGTAGGGGTGGTGAATGTAGCGTGTGTCAGTGACTAGGGGTGGTGAATGTAGCGTGTTTCAGTGACTAGGGGTGGTGCATGTAGCGTGTGTCAGTGACTAGGGGTGGTGAATGTAGCGTGTTTCAGTGACTATGGGTGGTGAATGTAGCGTGTTTAAGTGAGTAGGGGTGGTCAATGTAGCGTGTGTCAGTGACTAGAGGTGGTGAATGTAGCGTGTGTCAGTGACTAGGGGTGGTGAATGTAGCGTGTTTAAGTGAGTAGGGGTGGTGAATGTAGCGTGTGTCAGTGAGTAGGGGTGGTCAATGTAGCGTGTGTCAGTGACTAGGGGTGGTGAATGTAGCATGTGTCAGTGACTAGGGGTGGTGAATGTAGCGTGTGTCAGTGACTAGGGGTGGTCAATGTAGCGTGTGTCAGTGACTAGGGGTGGTGAATGTAGCGTGTGTCAGTGACTAGGGGTGGTGAATGTAGCGTGTGTCAGTGACTAGGGGTGGTCAATGTAGCGTGTGTCAGTGACTAGGGGTGGTGAATGTAGCATGTGTCAGTGACTAGGGGTGGTCAATGTAGCGTGTGTCAGTGACTAGGGGTGGTGCATGTAGCGTGTGTCAGTGAGTAGGGGTGGTCAATGTAGCATGTGTCAGTGAGTAGGGGTGGTCAATGTAGCGTGTGTCAGTGAGTAGGGGTGGTCAATGTAGCGTGTGTCAGTGACCAGGGGTGGTGAATGTAGCATGTGTCAGTGAGTAGGGGTGGTCAATGTAGCGTGTGTCAGTGAGTAGGGGTGGTCAATGTAGCGTGTGTCAGTGAGTAGGGGTGGTCAATGTAGCATGTGTCAGTGACTAGGGGTGGTGAATGTAGCGTGTGTCAGTGAGTAGGGGTTTTGAATGTAGCGTGTGTCAGTGACTAGGGCTGGTGCATGTAGCGTGTGTCAATGAGTAGGGGTGGTGAATGTAGCGTGTGTCAGTGACCAGGGGTGGTGAATGTAGCATGTGTCAGTGAGTAGGGGTGGTGAATGTAGCGTGTGTCAGTGACTAGGGATGGTGAATGTAGCGTGTGTCAGTGAGTAGGGGTGGTGAATGTAGCGTGTGTCAGTAAGTAGGGGTGGTGAATGTAGCGTGTGTCAGTGAGTAGGGGTGGTGAATGTAGCGTGTATCAGTGACTAGGGGTGGTGAATGTAGCGTGTGTCAGTGACTAGGTGTGGTGAATGTAGCGTGTGTCAGTGAGTAGGGGTGGTGAATGTAGCGTGTTTCAGTGACTAGGGGTGGTCAATGTAGCGTGTGTCAGTGAGTAGGAGTGGTCAATGTAGCGTGTGTCAGTGACTAGGTGTGGTGAATGTAGCGTGTTTCAGTGACTAGAGGTGGTGAATGTAGCGTGTCTCAGTGACTAGGGGTGGTGAATGTAGCGTGTTTCAGTGACTAGAGGTGGTGAATGTAGCGTTTGTCAGTGACTAGGGGTGGTCAATGTAGCATGTGTCAGTGACTAGGGGTGGTGAATGTAGCGTGTGTCAGTGACTAGAGGTGGTGAATGTAGCGTGTGTCAGTGACTAGGGGTGGTCAATGTAGCGTGTTTAAGTGACTAGAGGTGGTGCATGTTGCGTGTGTCAGTGACTAGGGGTGGTCAATGTAGCGTGTGTCAGTGACTAGGGGTGGTGCATGTTGCGTGTGTCAGTGAGTAGGGGTGGTGAATGTAGCGTGTGTCAGTGACTAGGGGTGGTTAATGTAGCGTGTGTCAGTGAGTAGGGGTGGTGAATGTAGCGTGTGTCAGTGAGTAGGGGTGGTGAATGTAGCGTGTTTCAGTGACTAGGGATGGTGCATGTAGCGTGTGTCAGTGACTAGGGGTGGTGAATGTAGCGTGTTTCAGTGACTAGGGGTGGTGAATGTAGCGTGTTTAAGTGAGTAGGGGTGGTCAATGTAGCGTGTGTCAGTGTCTAGGGGTGGTGAATGTAGCGTGTGTCAGTGACTAGGGGTGGTGCATGTAGCGTGTGTCAGTGAGTAGGGGTGGTCAATGTAGCATGTGTCAGTGAGTAGGGGTGGTCAATGTAGCGTGTGTCAGTGAGTAGGGGTGGTCAATGTAGCGTGTGTCAGTGGCCAGGGGTGGTGAATGTAGTATGTGTCAGTGAGTAGGGGTGGTCAATGTAGCGTGTGTCAGTGAGTAGGGGTGGTCAATGTAGCGTGTGTCAGTGAGTAGGGGTGGTCAATGTAGCATGTGTCAGTGACTAGGGGTGGTGAATGTAGCGTGTGTCAGTGAGTAGGGGTTTTGAATGTAGCGTGTGTCAGTGACTAGGGGTGGTGCATGTAGCGTGTGTCAATGAGTAGGGGTGGTGAATGTAGCGTGTGTCAGTGAGTAGGGGTGGTCAATGTAGCATGTGTCAGTGAGTAGGGGTGGTGAATGTAGCGTGTGTCAGTGACTAGGGATGGTGAATGTAGCGTGTGTCATTGAGTAGGGGTGGTGAATGTAGCGTGTGTCAGTAAGTAGGGGTGGTGAATGTAGCGTGTGTCAGTGAGTAGGGGTGGTGAATGTAGCGTGTATCAGTGACTAGGTGTGGTGAATGTAGCGTGTGTCAGTGACTAGGGGTGGTGAATGTAGCGTGTGTCAGTGAGTAGGGGTGGTGAATGTAGCGTGTTTCAGTGACTAGGGGTGGTCAATGTAGCGTGTGTCAGTGAGTAGGAGTGGTCAATGTAGCGTGTGTCAGTGACTAGGTGTGGTGAATGTAGCGTGTTTCAGTGACTAGAGGTGGTGAATGTAGCGTGTCTCAGTGACTAGGGGTGGTGAATGTAGCGTGTTTCAGTGACTGGAGGTGGTGAATGTAGCGTGTGTCAGTGACTAGGGGTGGTCAATGTAGCGTGTTTAAGTGACTAGAGGTGGTGAATGTAGCGTGTGTCTGTGACTAGGGGTGGTCAATGTAGCATGTGTCAGTGACTAGGGATGGTGAATGTAGCGTGTTTCAGTGAGTAGAGGTGGTGAATGTAGCGTGTGTCAGTGACTAGGGGTGGTCAATGTAGCGTGTTTAAGTGACTAGAGGTGGTACATGTTGCATGTGTCAGTGACTAGGGGTGGTCAATGTAGCGTGTGTCAGTGACTAGGGGTGGTGCATGTAGCGTGTGTCAGTGAGTAGGGGTGGTGAATGTAGCGTGTGTCAGTGACTAGGGGTGGTTAATGTAGCGTGTGTCAGTGAGTAGGGGTGGTGAATGTAGCGTGTGTCAGTGAGTAGGGGTGGTGAATGTAGCGTGTTTCAGTGACTAGGGGTGGTGCATGTAGCGTGTGTCAGTGACTAGGGGTGGTGAATGTAGCGTGTTTCAGTGACTAGGGGTGGTGAATGTAGCGTGTTTAAGTGAGTAGGGGTGGTCAATGTAGCGTGTGTCAGTGACTAGGGGTGGTGAATGTAGCGTGTGTCAGTGACTAGGGGTGGTGAATGTAGCGTGTGTCAGTGACTAGGGGTGCTCAATGTAGCGTGTGTCAGTGACTAGGGGTGGTGAATGTAGCATGTGTCAGTGACTAGGGGTGGTGAATGTAGCGTGTGTCAGTGACTAGGGGTGGTGCATGTAGCGTGTGTCAGTGACTAGGGGTGGTCAATGTAGCGTGTGTCAGTGACTAGGGGTGGTGCATGTAGCGTGTGTCAGTGAGTAGGGGTGGTCAATGTAGCGTGTTTAAGTGAGTAGGGGTGGTGAATGTAGCGTGTGTCAGTGACTAGGGGTGGTCAATGTAGCGTGTGTCAGTGACTAGGGGTGGTGCATGTAGCGTGTGTCAGTGACTAGGGGTGGTGCATGTAGCGTGTGTCAGTGAGTAGGGGTGGTGAATGTAGCGTGTGTCAGTGACTAGGGGTGGTCAATGTAGCGTGTGTCAGTGAGTAGGGGTGGTGCATGTAGCGTGTGTCAGTGAGTAGGGGTGGTCAATGTAGCATGTGTCAGTGAGTAGGGGTGGTCAATGTAGCGTGTGTCAGTGAGTAGGAGTGGTCAATGTAGCGTGTGTCAGTGACCAGGGGTGGTGAATGTAGTATGTGTCAGTGAGTAGGGGTGGTCAATGTAGCGTGTGTCAGTGAGTAGGGGTGGTGAATGTAGCGTGTGTCAGTGAGTAGGGGTGGTCAATGTAGCATGTGTCAGTGACTAGGGGTGGTGAATGTAGCGTGTGTCAGTGAGTAGGGGTTTTGAATGTAGCGTTTGTCAGTGACTAGGGGTGGTGCATGTAGCGTGTGTCAATGAGTAGGGGTGGTGAATGTAGCGTGTGTCAGTGAGTAGGGGTGGTGAATGTAGCGTGTGTCAGTGAGTAGGGGTGGTCAATGTAGCGTGTTTCAGTGAGTAGGGGTGGTCAATGTAGCGTGTTTCAGTGAGTAGGGGTGGTGAATGTAGTGTGTTTCAGTGACTAGGAGTGGTCAATGTAGCGTGTTTAAGTGAGTAGGGGTGGTGAATGTAGCGTGTGTCAGTGACTAGGGGTGGTGCATGTAGCGTGTGTCAGTGACTAGAGGTGGTCAATGTAGCGTGTATCAGTGACTAGCCGCGGTGTTTTAAGCACTTGTATAATGTGAACCTACGTCTGCAGGTTGTGTTGTACACGAAAACATCGTCGATCGCTATGTTGTCTCGTGTGTTGCTTGCCCTGTAGTATGGGGTATATGACATTCTGATCATGTAGGCATCAGTCATTGCTGCAAACACCACCTGGAACATAACAGGAGATTAATGTTCACTGCACAAAATCTAAAACGTGAAATAAACGTGAGATCGTTGTGACTCAGTAGGGTAGCGTCAGTGCCTTGTTGTTCAGTAGGGGAACGTTAATGCCCTGTTGTTCAGTGGGGGAACGTTAATGCCCTGTTGTTCAGTAGGGGAACGTTAATGCCCTGTTGTTCAGTAGTGGAACGTCAATGTCTGGTTGTTCAGTGGGGGAACGTTAATGCCTTGTTGTTCAGTAGGAGAACGCCAGTGTCTTGTTGTTCAGTAGGAGAACGTCAATGCCCTGTTGTTCAGTAGTGGAACTTCAATGTCCTGTTGTTCAGTAGGAGAACGTCAATGCCCTGTTGTTTCATACGAGACGTTAATGCCTTGTTGTTCAGTAGGGGAACTTCAATGCCTTGTTGTTCAGTAGGAGAACGTCAATGCCCTGTTGTTCAGTAGGGGAACGTCAATGCCCTGTTGTTTAATACGGGAACGTAAATGCCTTGTTGTTCAGTAGGGGAACGTCAGTGCATGTTGTTCAGTGGGAGAACGTCAGTGTCTTGATGTTCAGTAGAACGTCAATGCCCTGTTGCACAGTATTGGAACTTCAGTGCCTTGTTGGTCAGTCGGGGAACATGGGTGAATTGTTGGCCAATACACTATTCATACCAACACACCATTAAACTCATTCTCACCATCTACACGAACACACAATCATGATCAACATACACACACCATCCACACCACATCAACACACCATCCACACCAAGACACCATCTACATCAACAGACCAACCACACCACATCAACACACCATCACGGACCATCCACATCAACACACCTTCCACACCAAATCACACCACCCACATGAACACACCATCCAGACCACATCAACACACCTTCCACATCAACACACCATCCACACCACATCAACACACCATCCACACCACATCAACACACTTTCCACATCAACACACCATCCACACCACATCAACACACCATCCACACCACATCAACACACTTTCCACATCAACACACCATCCACACCACATCAACACACCATCCACACCACATCAACACACCATCCACACCACATCAACACACTTTCCACATCAACACACCATCCACACCACATCAACACACCATCCACACCACATCAACACACCTTCCACATCAACACACCATCCATACCAAGACACCATCTACATCAGCACACCATCCACACCACATCAACAGACCTTCCACACACCATCCACACCACATGAAGACACCATCCACATCAACACACCTTCCACATCAAGACACCATCCACATCAACACACTTTCCACGCCACATCAACACACCTTCCACATCAACACACCTTCCACAACACAACAACACACTTTCTACACCACATCAACACACCTTCCACACCACATCAACACACCTTCCTCACCACATCAACACAACATCCACACCACATCCACACACCTTCCACATCAACACACTTTCCACACCACATCAACACACCTTCCACATCAACTCATTTTCCACATCACATCAACACACCTTCCACATCAACACACCTTCCACACCACATCAACACACCACCCACAACACCTCAACACACCTTCCACATTAACACACTTTCCACACCACACCAACACACCTTCCACATCAACACACTTTCCACACCACATCAACACACTTTCCACATCAACACACTTTCCACACCACATCAACACACCATCCACATCAACACACTGTCCACACCACATCAACACACCATCCACATCAACACACCTTCCACACCACATCAACACACCTTCCACATCAACACACCTTCCACACCACATCAACACACTGTCCACATCAACACACTTTCCACATCAACACACCATCCACATCAACACACCTTCCACACCACATCAACACACTGTCCACATCAACACACCATCCACATCAACACACCTTCCACACCACATCAACACACTTTCCACATCAACACACTTTCCACACCACATCAACACACCATCCACATCAACACACCTTCCACACCACATCAACACACTTTCCACATCAACACACTTTCCACACCACATCAACACACTGTCCACATCAACACACTTTCCACACCACATCAACACACTTTCCACACCACATCAACACACCTTACACATCAACACACTTTCCACACCACATCAACACACTTTCCACATCAACACACTTTCCACACCACATCAACACACTTTCCACACCACATCAACACACCTTCCACATCAACACACTTTCTACACCACATCAACACACCTTCCACATCAACGCACCTTCCACACCACATCAACACACTTTCAACACCACATCAACACACCATCCACACCACATCAACACACTTTCCACATCAACACACCATCCACACCACATCAACACACCATCCACACCGAATCAACACACCTTCCACATCAACACACCATCCATACCAAGACACCATCTACATCAACACACCATCCACACCACATCAACAGACCTTCCACACACGATCCACACCACATGAAGACACCATCCACATCAACACACCTTCCACATCAAGACACCATCCACATCAACACACTTTCCACGCCACATCAACACACCTTCCACATCAACACACCTTCCACAACACAACAACACACTTTCTACACCACATCAACACACCTTCCACACCACATCAACACACCTTCCTCACAACATCAACACAACATCCACACCACATCCACACACCTTCCACATCCACACACTTTCCAAACCACATCAACACACCATCCACATCAACACACTTTCCACACCACATCAACACACCACCCACAACACCTCAACACACCTTCCACATTAACACACTTTCCACACCACATCAACACACCTTCCACATCAACACACTTTCCACACCACATCAACACACTTTCCACATCAACACACCATCAACACCACATCAACACACTGTCCACATCAACACACTGTCCACACCACATCAACACATCATCCACACCACATCAACACACCATCCACATCAACACACTTTCCACACCACATTAACACACCTTCCACATCAACTCATTTTCCACACCACATCAACACACCTTCCACATCAACACACTTTCCACACCACATCAACACACTTTCCACATCAACACACTTTCCACACCACATCAACACACCTTCCACATCAACTCATTTTCCACACCACATCAACACACCTTCCACATCAACACACTTTCCACACCACATCAACACACTTTCCACATCAACACACTTTCCACACCACATCAACACACCATCCACATCAACACACCATCCACATCAACACACCATCCACATCAACACACTTTCCACATCAACACACCATCCACATCAACACACTTTCCACATCAACACACCATCCACATCAACACACTTTCCACATCAACACACCATCCACATCAACACACTTTCCACATCAACACACCATCCACATCAACACACTTTCCACATCAACACACCATCCACATCAAGACACTTTCCACACCACATCAACACACCTTCCACATCAACACACTTTCCACACCACATCAACACACTTTCCACATCAACACACCATCCACACCACATCAACACACTGTCCACACCACATCAACACATCATCCACACCACATCAACACACCATCCACATCAACACACTTTCCACACCACATCAACACACCTTCCACATCAACTCATTTTCCACACCACATCAACACACCTTCCACATCAACACACTTTCCACACCACATCAACACACTTTCCACATCAACACACTTTCCACACCACATCAACACACCTTCCACATCAACTCATTTTCCACACCACATCAACACACCTTCCACATCAACACACTTTCCACACCACATCAACACACTTTCCACATCAACACACTTTCCACACCACATCAACACACTGTCCACATCAACACACTTTCCACACCACATCAACACACCTTCCACATCAACTCATTTTCCACATCACATCAACACACCTTCCACATCAACACACCTTCCACACCACATCAACACACCACCCACAACACCTCAACACACCTTCCACATTAACACACTTTCCACACCACATCAACACACCTTCCACATCAACACACTTTCCACACCACATCAACACACTTTCCACATCAACACACCATCCACATCAACACACCTTCCACACCACATCAACACACTTTCCACACCACATCAACACACCTTCCACATCAACACACTTTCTACACCACATCAACACACCTTCCACATCAACACACCTTCCACACCACATCAACACACTTTCCACACCACATCAACACACCTTCCACATCAACACACTTTCTACACCACATCAACACACCTTCCACATCAACACACCTTCCACACCACATCAACACACTTTCCACACCACATCAACACACCATCCACACCACATCAACACACTTTCCACCTCAACACACCTTCCACATCAACACACTTTCTACACCACATCAACACACCTTCCACATCAACACACCTTCCACACCACATCAACACACTTTCCACACCACATCAACACACCTTCCACATCAACACACTTTCTACACCACATCAACACACCTTCCACATCAACACACCTTCCACACCACATCAACACACTTTCCACACCACATCAACACACCATCCACACCACATCAACACACTTTCCACCTCAACACACCTTCCACACCACATCAACACACTTTCCACACCACATCAACACACCTTCCACATCAACACACTTTCTACACCACATCAACACACCTTCCACATCAACACACCTTCCACACCACATCAACACACTTTCCACACCACATCAACACACCATCCACACCACATCAACACACTTTCCACATCAACACACCTTCCACATCAACACACTTTCTACACCACATCAACACACCTTCCACATCAACACACCTTCCACACCACATCAACACACTTTCCACACCACATCAACACACCTTCCACATCAACACACTTTCTACACCACATCAACACACCTTCCACATCAACACACCTTCCACACCACATCAACACACTTTCCACACCACATCAACACACCATCCACACCACATCAACACACTTTCCACCTCAACACACCTTCCACATCAACACACTTTCCACACCACATCAACACACCTTTCACACCACATCAACACACAATCCACATCAACAAATCATCCATGTCAAAACACCATAAACACCAACACACCTTGAAGGGATGTCCTGTGAATTCAGGGTCTACGTTGATCTCGCCAAGATGCCATGTTTGTCCTTGGTTGCCATAGCTACGCCATATGGGATAACCAAGACCTGAACCAACCTGTAGCAAACAAAAGCCAGGAAGACCTACAATACAATTTAATAGACACTAGCAGCCCAACAGATCTGCACAAGCATGTGTTCTGTGTATGTGTGAAAAATATTATGTTCTTATTGAACAGAGTCTGAGAGGAAATGGAACTTCAATCATTAAGTTCATAACCGACAGATACATTCTCAGTGATCAACGTGTCTTCAGACACTTGGTTCAAATAACTGTCCATACCCTTTCTAACAAACTTGATCTGGTGTCTACCCTATACATTATCTACCAACCTTGACGTACACCCGGAGAGATCTGGTGTCTACCCTATACATATTGTACCAACCTTGACGTACACCCGGAGAGATCTGGTGTCTACCCTATACATATTGTACCAACCTTGGCGTAGACCTGGAGAGATCTGGTGTCTGCCCTATACATGTTGCACCAACCTTAAACGGAGACCTGGAGAGATCTGGTGTCTACCCCGTACATTATCTACAAGAATTCGCGTAGACCTGGAGAGATCTGGTGTCTGCCCAAAACAGGTTGTACCAACCTTGGCGTAGACCTGGAGAGATCTGGTGTCTACCCTATACCTTATCTACCAACCTTGACGTACACCTGGAGAGATCTGGTGTCTACCCTATACATGTTGTACCAACCTTGACGTACACCTGGAGAGATCTGGTGTCTACCCTATACATGTTGTACCAACCTTGACGTACACCTGGAGAGATCTGGTGTCTGCCCTATACATGTTGTACCAACCTTGACGTACACCCGGAGAGATCTGGTGTCTGCCCTAGACATTATCTACCAATCTTGACGTAGACCTGGAGAAATCTGGTGTCTGCCCTATACATGTTGTAACAACCTTGACGTACATCTGGAGAGATCTGGTGTCTGCCCTAGACATGTTGTACCAACCTTGACGTACACCCGGAGAGATCTGGTGTCTACCCTGTACATGTTGTACCAACCTTGACGTACACCCGGAGAGATCTGGTGTCTGCCCAGTACATTATCTACCAACCTTGACGTACACCCGGAGAGATCTGGTGTCTGCCCTATACATGTTGTTACAACCTTCACGTACACCTGGAGAGATCTGGTGTCTGCCCTATACATTATCTACCAGCCTTGACGTACATCTGGAGAGATATGGTGTCTACCCTGTACATGTTGTACCAACCTTGACGTACACCCGAAGAGATCTGGTGTCTGCCCAGTACATTATCTACCAACCTTAACGTACATCTGGAGAGATCTGGTGTCTGCCCTAGACATGTTGTACCAACCTTGACGTACACCCGGAGAGATCTGGTGTCTGCCCAGTACATTATCTACCAACCTTGACGTACATCTGGAGAGATCTGGTGTCTACCCTGTACATGTTGTACCAACCTTGACGTACACCCGGAGAGATCTGGTGTCTGCCCAGTACATTATCCACCAACCTTGACGTACACCCGGAGAGATCTGGTGTCTGCCTTATACATGTTGTTACAACCTTGACGTACACCTGGAGAGATCTGGTGTCTGCCCTATACATTATCTACCAGCCTTGACGTACATCTGGAGAGATATGGTGTCTACCCTGTACATGTTGTACCAACCTTGACGTACACCCGAAGAGATCTGGTGTCTGCCCAGTACATTATCTACCAACCTTGACGTACACCCGGAGAGATCTGGTGTCTACCCTGTACATGTTGTACCAACCTTGGCGTACTCCTGGGGAGATCTGGTGTCTGCCAAGTACATTATCTACCAACCTTGGCGTAGACCTGGAGAGATCTGGTATCTGCCCCGTACATTATCTACCAACCTTGGCGTAGACCTGGAGAGATCTGGTGTCTGCCAAGTACATTATCTACCAACCTTGGCGTATTCCTGGGGAGATCTGGTATCTGCCCCGTACATTATCTACCAACCTTGGCGTAGACCTGGAGAGATCTGGTGTCTGCCCCGTACATTATCTACCAACCTTGGCGTAGACCAGGAGAGATCTGGTGTCTGCCCCGTACATGTTGTACCAACCTTGACGTACTCCTGGAGAGATCTGGTATCTGCCCCGTAAATGTTGTACCAACTTTGGCGTAGACCTTGAGAGATCTGCTGTCTGCCCCGTACATTATCTACCAACCTTAGCGTAGACCTGGAGAGATCTGGTGTCTGCCCCGTACATGTTGTACCAACCTTGACGTACTCCTGGAGAGATCTGGTATCTGCCCCGTAAATGTTGTACCAACCTTGACGTACACCTGGAGAGATCTGGTATCTGCCCCGTAAATGTTGTACCAACCTTGACGTACACCTGGAGAGATCTAGTATCTGCCCCGTAAATGTTGTACCAACCTTGACATACACCCGGAGAGATCTGGTGTCTGCCCAGTACATTATCTACCAACCTTGACGTACATCTGGAGAGATCTGGTGTATACCCTGTACATGTTGTACCAACCTTGACGTACACCCGGAGAGATCTGGTGTCTGCCCAGTACATTACCTACCAACCTTTGCGTGGACCTGGAGAGATCTGGTGTCTACCCTGTACATGTTGTACCAACCTTGACGTACTCCTGGAGAGATCTGGTATCTGGCCCGTAAATGTTGTACCAACCTTGACGTACACCTGGAGAGATCTGGTATCTGCCCCGTAAATGTTGTACCAACCTTGACGTACACCCGGAGAGATCTGGTGTCTGCCCAGTACATTATCTACCAACCTTGACGTACATCTGGAGAGATCTGGTGTCTACCCTGTACATGTTGTACCAACCTTGACGTACACCCGGAGAGATCTGGTGTCTGCCCAGTACATTATCTACCAACCTTGGCGTGGACCTGGAGAGATCTGGTGTCTACCCTGTACATGTTGTACCAACCTTGACGTACATCTGGAGAGATCTGGTGTCTGCCAAATACATTATCTACAAACCTTGGCGTAGACCCGGAGAGATCGGGTGTCTGCCCAGTACATAATCTACCAACCTTGACGTAGACCTGGAGGGATCTGGTGTCTACCCAGTACATTATCTACAAACCTTGGCGTGGACCTGGAGAGATCTGGTGTCTACCCTGTACATGTTGTACCAACCTTGACGTACACCCGGAGAGATCTGGTGTCTGCCCAGTACATTATCTACCAACCTTGACGTAGACCTGGAGAGATCTGGTGTCTACCCTGTACATGTTGTACCAACCTTGACGTACACCCGGAGAGATCTGGTGTCTGCCCAGTACATTATCTACCAACATTGACGTACATCTGGAGAGATCTGCTGTCTGCCCCGTACATTATCTACCAACCTTGACGTACATCTGGAGAGATCTGGTGTCTGCCCAGTACATTATCTACCAGCCTTGACGTACATCTGGAGAGATCTGGTGTCTACCCTATACATGTTGTACCAACCTTGGCGTAGACCTGGAGAGATCTGGTGTCTGCCCAGTACATTATCTACAAGCCTTGGCGCAGACCTGGAGAGATCTGGTGTCTACCCAGTACATTATCTACCAACCTTGGCGTGGACCTTGAGAGAACTGGTGACTACCCGGTATATTATCTACCAACCTTGGCGTGGACCTGGAGAGATCTGGTGTCTACCCAGTATATTATCTACCAACCTTGACGTACACCAGGAGAGATCTGGTGTCAGCCCAGTACATTATCTAGCAACCTTGACGTACATCTGGAGAGATCTGGTGTCTGCCCTATACATTATCGACTAACCTTGGCGTAGACCTGGAGAGATCTGGTGTCTGCCCCGTACATTATCTAGCAACCTTGGCGTAGACCTGGAGAGATCTGGTGTCTGCCAAGTACATTATCTACCAACCTTGGCGTAGACCTGGAGAGATCTGGTGTCTGCCCTGTACATTATCTAGCAACCTTGGCGTAGACCTGGAGAGATCTTGTGCCTGCCCAGTATATTATCTACCAACCTTGGCGTAGACCTGGAGAGATCTTGTGTCTGCCCAGTACATTTTCAACCAACCTTGGCGTAGACCTGGAGAGATCTGGTGTCTGTTGTACCAGAACCTGACACAGTAGGCGGGGGCGGGGCGGAACTCGGGGGAGGCGAGGTAGAATGTTCTGTTCCGTTGGTTGTAATCGTAATCTCCTGACTTCGGATCAATGTACATGTAGCTTCCTATAGGGTGACACAATAAACGAATATTTCCGTATTTAAGGAATGTGACTTCGACAAACACACTAACGGAACCCGACCTGTACATTTCGCTGTACCATTCAAACGTCGCCTCAAAACTCCATATGGTGATCTATATAGCCTTTAGACACTTAATGGCGAGGATAACACAGTGATAGTATGGTCAGTTTGACGGATTACACTGTAGAAAGAGTCCAGTTCATACTTGTGAAGAAATGTCTGAATTAGAAGGAATCTGTGTTAGGCAAAGTTCACTGTAGAGCATGGCATCGGAATGTTAAGTCATAGCTGTAAATAGTTATGTCACGGGTCCATATCTTATCTGGGTTTGTTTACTGAAGTGCGATTATGAGGTCCGGTGGGGATAAAACGCTTAAAGCTCGAATACATTTTCCACAATTCTGATTTACAGGTGATGGAGGATCTATAAAATAAAGTTATTAAAATTAGGTTATCATTAATTTCAGTTGGTTTTTCATCCGTGTATCTCATTACTTATTTCAGAACTAGCAAGGTAAATATAGATTAAATGTAGGAACCTTTCCACATGGTGTTAAATACGTGTTTGTTTTGTTGACCCGTGAAGATTCCGGGGTAGAATAGGTCTTCAGCAACCCATGCTTGCCGTAAAAGGTGACTATGCTTGTCGTAAAAGGCGACTAACGGGATCGGGGGGTCAGGCTCGCTGACTTGGTTGATGCATGTCATCGATCCTAATTGCGTGGATCGATGCTCATGATATCAAACACTGGATTGTCTGGTCCAGACTCGATTATTTACAGACCGCCGTCATATAGATGGAATATTGCTGAGTGCGGCGTTAAACAACAAAACAACAACAACGTGTTTGTTTGTCGGTTTATACTCTGCAAAAGAAGAAACGCAAAAGTAGTAAAATCGTGTTGCTGACATACATACAAAATTAATACCAAATATGAATTGGTCAATTTTGCACGGAGTGGGATTGATTTGTGTGAAGAGAATGAGGTACTGCAGAAATTTGTTGAAAAGATGGAAAAAAAAATCGCTAAAACACAAACACGTTGAGCCTGGCGTCGAAACACACAAACATGACATGCACGCGCAACATCGCTTGTCGGGCTATAGAAATGTTGGGTTTTCATTTGCATGCCATCACAATCTTATAGCAAGCGAACAGCGAAAGCATGCCACGACTGACGGAAGCCGAACGCAACAGCAAACTCAAGCATCATCTTCAGCCAGGTTGTTCCACGAAGCACCAAACATCATTACAAGACTGTGGAACCTCCCAGATCCGGTCGACCACGTATCACTGCTAGAGTGAGTGAGTTGGGTTTAACGCTGCTTTAACAGTATTCCAGTTATATCACGGCGAGTCAGCTAAATTGGGAGGAAAGCCCGAAGCGATGCAGGTCTCAGACGTTTACCACTTCGGTGAAACCCACGAGCACGGGTATGGTACTGACAAACCTAGAAACATAATCGGGGCGAACCGGGATTCGAACCCACAATCATAGGTATCTCTGCACAGCGAATCGCGGCGCCTTAGACGACTGGGCCACCCGTGCCCCCCACTGCTAGAGCACAGGACAGATACATACGGTTACATCTCACCTATTGTTCAACTCTACAACTAAGGCAATACGGGAAGTGCGTAGGTAATTATCAGCCCAGACAGTGAGTGAGTGAGTGAGTATGGTTTTAGCAATATTCCAGCAATATCACGGCGGGGTACACCAGAAATGGGCTTCACACATTGTACCCATGTCGGGAATCGAACCCGGGTCTTCGGCGTGGCGAGCCAACGTTTTAACCACTAGGCCCCCCCCCCCCCCCCCACATCCAGGTCCTACCATGGCGCTCAAGGTCTGCAGATTTAAACCCAATCGAACATTTATGGGATGCACTGGTTCAACGACTGCGAGCACATCAGCAACTGACACAGAACCTCCAACAGTTGGCACAAGCACTGAGAGGCTGAGTGGTTGAACATTCCCAAAACTACAATTCGGGATCTGATTGCTTCCATGGGACGACCATTTCAGTCAGTTTTGGACTCTAATGGTGGCCATACAACATATTGAGAACAGATGACCTTCACCTTGAAAATTTACTGTTCCACGTGAGCCATATGGAACCTGGGACAAAGACAATGATGTGTGCAAACCTTTATTAATCATCTGCTGATTAATATTCATCTAAACCCACTTTTGCGTTTCTTTTTTTGCAGAGTACACGTTTGACGGCTACAAGGTTTCTACTTTAGCCCTAAACTCTTCACAACATGACTTGTGTTGGAGGATACCTGGCACACTGCTGTCAGTATAACTGCATTACCTTTTACTGCGCCGGTAGTGTGATCTTCCCGAGGGCCAGAAGAACTTGCCACTGCACGTTGTCCAATCTGCCAATGGTTCTTAGAAGATAGATCAATGTATCCGCAAGTGTCATTCTCGAATGTGCACAATGACATGGTGTAGTCACCTGGCGCTGAAATACAGTAAATAATACACGTGTGGCAATTCATTACTGTTGAAACAGACACATTTTCGAACCGCAAGTATATTTGTGTTGGACAATGTATGGTTCATAGAGACTGGTACCAGTGTTCGTCCACGTGTAGCACTGATTCAGGATGGACAATTCTATATACAATATTCAGCTAGCTCTTCTTCAGAGCGATGTTATAAACATTTACAATTCTAAAAGACAGATGCCAAAGTCTGAGTCAAAGATTGAGTGATATTTTATCCATTATGGCCCATAGTCGTACGGCCACGTTTTCATTGTATGAAGTACTAAGATGACAAAGACTATTGAGCGACCTGTGGACTGGCTGACATTGCTTGTTTGGAGACCAAGGACGCCTCTACAGTTGTTAAGGTCTCGGGTCAGGTTGGCGATTTCCTCCTTAAAGCTCTGGATTAAATTGGCCGATTGCTGTACAAGGTGCGCCAGGTTCGCTTGCGAGCTGTTCAGTTCAGCTGCTTTGTTTTCCAGTGCTTGCAGTAGCTGGTCCCTCTCATTGGTTGTTTTGTTCAGTAGGACAGACGATGATTGGCTAATTCCCAGTTTCTGCTGAACATCATGCATCTGCTTGACGAGTCCGTCGACCACGCCCTGTAGATTGTTCATATTGCCCTGGAACAATCGAAGTCTTTTTTACATGTGTGACGAACGGCATTGAGTAAAAAACCTAGTGAATTCGACTAACTTAATTAGTCACAGCTGCCAGAAGGTTAGTAAACAATGAATTTACTACCCTGCCTGGAAGATTGCACGAATATGCTGAAGATTAGTAAATATCACTTATTTAATTGATATAATGCCCTTATTAAATCGAACTGTAAAAATGTATTAAAATGTTTAACAAATACATGTCATGTTTGGGAACGTGTCTAATGTTTAGGGTCTAAACACATGAAACGAGCATAGCCTAAACACAGCACCACATATACACATCATAAGTCAAATATGGATGAGATGTATAATATACTGAACCAAATTAAAAACTTCACAATCCTAAAATTTTAACATTTTGACCAGTTATCATTGTGGGCCCTTATTGTGTATTTAAACAGTAATGGCCACGTATTGTCTTCAGATAATACCCGTTTTTGTGCAGGTGAATCGATCAAAATCATGTGCACAGCACTATAGTGCCAAAAGTGGTTTTTCACGTGCAACTGGTCACGTGGCCATAATACCGCACATGTTTTCAGCCATACTTGTTAGCAGTCATTAACAAAAAAAGAAAAACACAAGAAAACAAAAGTCTTTTCGGGCCATTTGTCATGCCACGCCTTTCAAATGTGCAACGTGAACGTGCCATCGGCATGTTGCAGACGGGAACGTCCGTAGCTGAAGTCGCAAGGACGATGGGTTGTAGTCGACGGACTGTTTATGATTTACAGACGCGTCTACAGCAAACGGGTACCACCGCTGATCGCCCTCGGCCAGGTCGACCACGTGTGACGTCACATGCAGAGGATCGTCAGATTGTCCTACGTCACCTCCGTAACCGATTTTTGACGGCTACATCAACCAGAAATGAACTGTTTAGGGGCAGACTGAGTGCGCAAACTGTTCGAAACCGTCTGAGAACTGCTAACCTTCAAGCACGACGGCCATACTGCGGGCCGATTCTGACTCAATTACACAGACGTCAACGTCAATTGTGGGCACAGCGACACTTACGATGGACTCAGAGGAATTGGAATCAAGTCGTCTTCAGTGATGAATCCCGATTTAATCTTAGATTTGCTGATGGTAGGGCGAGGGTGTGGAGGCGCCGTCATGAACGTTACGCCCAGTGTTGTGTACAGGAAGTTGACAGATTTCGAGGCGGAAGTGTCATGGTGTGGGGTGCTTTCCGTGGCAATGCACGTTCCAGGCTTCTTGTCATCCGTGGCAACCTCAACGCTGTTGCTTACCGCGACCAGGTACTGGCACCAGAACTTCTGCCTTTTATGGCAGCACATGGACCCGGTTTGATCTTCGAACACGACAATGCCAGACCCCACACAGCAATTTTGACAAGGAATTTCCTTCAGAATGCGTTAGTCAACGTCATGGACTGGCCGTCAGGGTCTCCCGACCTCAATCCCATCGAACACGTCTGGGATGCTCTTGGCAGAAGTCTGCGCACTCTCCAGAACCAACCACAGAATTTGCAAGATTTGTAGTCATCTGTTCTCGTCACCATTACCTTGGTTTATTTGTACATTTTAAGTTTAGTAATATAAGTTCGGTGTAAGTCCGTGTGGTGTTTAGGTGGTGTTTAGAGCTTGTGACGATAGCTCAGTTTCTGTGTTTAGACCCTAAACGCGTTAAGATGGAACACGCCAAATGTGTATTCCGTTTAGGATTGAAACACATATCTAAACGTGTCTGGTATGTATTAACATTTACACATTTTTACAGTGTACATGCGTAAAATTCACAAAGCCACTCGTCAAATTTACTTGTCCCTTTCTGGTAAAGAAACGGAAAAAATCCTATTTGACTGTGTGATCGACATAGTCCTAAAGTATCACTCATCACTGCACCTTGGACAGGCTGAAGTTCCATGATGGTCGCCTAGTCAAATCCAATTAAGGATCACCACTGTTTAACTTTAAGAAAGGTGAACTTTACTAGTCAGTACTCTTTGAGGGCGTGTCCCTGTTACCAGGTATGGGTTTTGTCAATGAATTAGTTATGATAAAACATTGACAAAATATTATGTTGTTATTTTCAATAGTATATATGAAGCACAGTTAAGTTACTTATTTGCGTCAGTATATATTCAAAGTCGCTCCCGGCTTTCAACTTAATTGAGTCCAAGTACTACTGAAAACAGACAACACTGTACAGAACAAAGGGATGACGTCACAGGAGGTGTATAATTCGTGTTTCCAAGTTTTACGAGTATCCCGAATCAGTTGATCGTTAATGATCAGTTGACTAGGTCGCGCGATTGTTTTACCAGGTGCTCTAGTCAAGTTGACAAGGCTTTTTCGGTGAAACGGTTACAGGATGAGGATTAACTTCGCTTTAAACCATGACTCACTTGTCTTTGACCGTGGTCTAAGTAAGTGAATTGTCAGTTAAACACCACTTGGCAAGGATATCATTTATCTTGATGATAGAACAATTTCATGAAAAACGTTTGTCGCCAGCGGGATTCGAACCCGCGAAATCCGCACTGAAGGTTAACGAATGTAGTCTTCTGCTACGGCGACCTTGGAGAAATGGTATGAAATTAATAACTAAATATTTACTTACATAAGTACTAATTGCTTATCCGTTTATGAACTGCAAAATGTTTTTTATGCAATTTTTGCAAGTACTTGTGATCTTGAAATGAACAGATAGAAAATAAATAACTATTATCTTGATCAGGGCTACATTTGTTCATAATAGGTCCATCAACATATCTCGGTGATTGATAAATGTTTTCGGGTTGGTCCAAAATGAATGGTAAACTTGCCCCGGTACATGCATTTCATAAACTTAATCGGCAAAGTGCGAGTTCCTGAATGTCTTTCAAAGTATCTTTAACAAATAATTTTTTTAAAGCATTTTAGGTGCTATAAATGTTGGATATGGTTAAAGTATGTTAGACCACTCGGACCCCAGTGTCTAATCGTTGAATTGGATACTAGTAATTAAACAACTCGGCGCTGCGCGCCTCGTGGTTTAATTAACCATTTCAACGATAAAACACTGGGTCCTCATGGTCCAATCTATACTTAACCGATACCTTACTGTACTCGACTTCGTTTTATCTGGTAGTGGCTGTGTAATGCTGGTTTCTATCGCATATGAAAAGAAGAATCAGTTATCCGAAATAATCTCAACACATGCTTTTAAAGCGAATGCTCCACTCTGCAGAAACACATCATTATGACTAGCCCACAGACAAGCAGCCCCACCTGTACGCCATTACAGCAGGTGTCGGTCCCCCCTCCGGTAGTGGTCGCTGTTCCCTGGGCATCACATTGACCCTCATGTCCCAGTTTGACATTGTAGACACATTGGTTGTTCATGAAGCTGCAGCCAGGCTCGAACACGGCGAGAGAGGACGACAGAAGCAGTGTCGTTGTTGCCAAAACCAGCCACGCCATCTTGATGGTGTCCTGTGTATTGTGATATCTGAGATACAGATTGTTCGTGACAACTATTAACTAGCTCACTGTGATATCAGGTCACTGATAGTGCGATATACGTCCGACATACAGGACGTCTACACTGCAACCTGCATTGTGCCCAACTGTGTCTAACTTTATCTAACTGTGTCTAACTTTGTCTGTGTCTAACTACCAACAGAAGCGCCCCGTGAAGATCCGGGTTAGAACTGGTCTTCAGCAACTCATGCTTATCGTAAGGGGCGACTAACGGGATAGGGCGGTCAGCTCGCTGACTTGTTTGATGCATGTCATTGTATCCAAATTGCGTAGATCAATGCTCATGATGGCAATCACTGGATTGTCAGGTCCAGGCTCGATAACTTTCAGACTGCCGTCATGTAGCTGGAATATTGCTGAGTGCAGCGTTAAACAACAAACAAACACAACAACAAATGTGTGATGCTGATTGGTTGACGATAACTTAATTGCTGTTTTGGAATATGTTAAAATATTATATATCTGAACACAACTTGATAACGAATTTGTCCCTAAAATGGGTGAAACCTACAGTACTTGACTGAGGACACTGCACAGCAGGTTCTACCAAGGTACGGTTCTGATTCTGATTACCCAGTAACCATTACCAGGGTGAACCTGGGATTCGATCGTTCAAGGATCCTGGCACGCCCAGTGTGTATAGCTCTACATAAATAATGGAGTGATTTCGTCGAGTGGGCACCCCGAGCTCTAGAAGTTCCACAAGCAATGTGATATATGATTTGGGTTAACCGAGTTCCACTACAGGAGATGTACAGTCTACATATGGGATCATTTATAAAGCATATTATAAAGTATCTTGAAGAATAACAATTCTAACGTCAATAAAAAGCGTTAAAAACCTACTCGTATTCCGGAGACTTGTTGCGGTTCTGCCCTCTACAGATCCAGAGGGAAAGATGTTCCACCTCCATCAAAACAACGCACTGACATCAACCTGCCTGATCTCTAACACCAACACTGTTTCCCAAGACAACTTCCTGATCCATTCAGACGATGATGTCTTTGCCACCAACTCCAATCTGGAAACAGAAGTCTGCCGTCATGAACATTAACCTAGAACCAACCACAGCCTGCACTTACTTTGAATCAGTTGCACTGAATTCCATCAGAAGAGTTTTTGCCACTTGTACTTTGAAAGTCTGTTTCCTCAATTATGCGCAATGCTGTGCAGTTTGACCTTCAAGTTGACTGTACCAAAGACGACAACATCAACATCCTGATCAGAAGAGCTAACGCCTTGCCACTGGTTCCTGTCGCCGACCTCGAAGACGTGTGGCTCAATGCATAAGATGAGGCTCCCCTTGACGACGCCCGTGTGTTGAGGCTTGTCGACTACGTCACCGCCTACTGGGTAGAGGGCAACCATGGCCGCAGTACACGGAACCACCATGACACTGTTGGCCCAAGAACAACTTACCATGTTGAGGGCTGGCACAACAAAATGACCACACATCACGGGCAGTCCTCACACTAACATCTGCTAAGTCCTAGACTTCTTCAAAACAGAACCTGTCTACACCGAAGCATGCATCATCCAGCTACAGTCTATTTGAACTGCCCGTCCTAGGAAGTAGAAACGTAATGTATTATATATATGTTATATATGTCTCTCCACTGTGACGTCACAGATAGAGTTCGGCCTAGAGCCGGGATTTCGATATGCAAACGCGCTGGATTCGAACCTATGATAGTGGGTTCGAATCCCGGTTCGCCCCGATTATGTTTCTAGGTTCCTCAGCACCATACCCGTGCTCGCGGGTTTCACCGAAGTGGTAAACGTCTGAGACCTGCATCACTTCGGGCTTTCCTCGCACATTAAGCTGACACGCCGTTATATAACTGGAATACTGTTAAAAGCGGCGTTAAAACTAACTCACTCACTTAACATGTTTTGAGAAGTTTTGTTTCAATATATCTCCTTTAACGACACTACTATCGAGATGATTAGATTTGTATCGCCTGTCACAGGAGTGACTGACCTATCGTACGTGACCTTGCTGATTGCAACTGTAGCTCTTGATCAAAGTGCGGTGGTGGTACAGAACTTTAACAGCACATTTGCTCATAGTTTCTGATAACGCTCAGAGCTACAGTATATAACCAGGTTTTACTGGTTGGGCGTGATGGCGGACTGTGTCCTACAATTTGCAAATGTGGGAGATAAAGGCTTTTGACATGACATCGACAAGAAACTCCTCCGTGTGGAGCTTACTTAGTCAAGAAGTAGATCTTAATGGAGCGAGTGAGTTGGGTTTAACGCCGCTTTTAACAGTATTCCAGTTATATCACGGCGTGTCAGCTTAATGTGGGAGGAAAGCCCGAAGTGATGCAGGTCTCAGACGTTTACCACTTCGGTGAAGCCCACGAGCATGGGTGTGGTGCTGACAAACCTAGAAACATAATCGGGATTCGAACCCACAATCATAGGTTTCTGGCGTGTCCAAGGGACGGAGCTCTGCACAGCGAATCGCGGCGCCTTAGACGACTGGGCCACCCGTGCCCCCCAAATCTTAATGGAATGCCCTTAACATCTGAGAAAAAATCCCCTCTAGCTTTAAGCTGGATTCCTAAGCTTACTGAGAATCAACATGAGAGAGATATAGTGCAGAGCAGACCAAATTTACCACCAAACTTTACAAAACTACTGACAATATAATTCTGGCAAAAATCAAGAACGTCATAAGTAATTACTGCCAGAGAATATATGGACGATTAATCTAAATGCATGTGGATATTGAAAAGTACATAAGATTTACTTGCGATTATATAATCTCAGATGAGCTAATGTTTTCAACACGTTTGATTTTCCCCTCCCTTTACACAACTATCGCTCATGATCAAAGAGAATCCTTATCTAATCAATAGGGCCTTTGTTTCTGAGATAGGGTTTTCTGACATTTCATTGCATTCCAATTTTTTAATGTAACTACACTCAGATGTACGTCGATACCCCTTTCAGCAGACTACTTATGAATATGGAAAGGGTAATGTAATGTGTTCACTTGTGCTCTCCAGATTAGATTAGATTAATGCAACAGCTGTCTCGCAGAGCATTAAACATAAAATTATTACATAATCTATGATATCCTGCAGTCTCTTACTTCAAGCAAGTCCAAGTGACTCCGATCGTCAAATCCTTTCCAGAGAGGATTGGATACAAGACTCTGTCTATTTAAAACTGTCAGCTCTAATTTGTCAGAACTTAAGTCTCCCTATTGTCATGTGGTTATGTATAGATTGAAAGTTTTTTTCTGACGATTGTCAGTGGCAGAATTTACGAAGCGCTCATAAAATCTCGAGCCTCGGTAACGGTTACCCAGTTTCTAGAACATTGGCTGTTCCAAAATAAGAGCAAGACAAGTTCGATTGAAAGCCTTCTACGACTTGCGACTCTTGTCCAGTGGGAAAACACCACTTCTGCCTCCTTCCAACACTGTTCCATTCAAGACATTCGACTGTGACATTCGTGAGTGCACTAACTGACTTTCAAAACATATTGTGGTAGACATGTGACACATTCAGGACAACTGTGAGTGCACTGACTGACTTTGTATCTTCCCGAGGCAAGAGAGTTAGTTACCTGACTATAAAAGTCCAGTTTCCAACCTTGCCGAACTAGGCTGGTATTATGGAGTTATATTTTGGCTGGACTAACGAGTCAAACAGCTTTAAAATGACGTAAATTCTCACGAGCGAGAGAACATGAACGTGGAGTGCTGACACTTTTATCATGGCAAGTTCATTTCTTAGAACGTCGTAAACTCTCCTGAGAGATACCCAGAGTATCGGCTATGTGACGGTTGGTGAGTCGTCGGTCTTGTCATGTATTCTATATTGCTTAGTGGTGGCAGTTAAAGGTTTCCTAGATTTCGATCATCTTGGAGGTTCTGTCTTCTTCTCGTGATTCTGCGTTCAGTTGAAGATACTTGATGACAGTGTGGTAGCCAGTTGTTACCATTTGTATCAACTGAGAACACCTAGTCACCATCATTCCTGCAGAAATATGCTGCCTGGTTGCGTATTTGGGTCCAATGCTGGGTGTACGCATGGAAAGTATTGTACTTTAATGGATGCACAACTGTTATGGGTGTTTTATACATCATTCGTAGTTAGGCGTAGTTAGTGAGATGGTTGCCGAGAAACAAACGAGGGCTTACTATGATCCAGAATATGTCGTCTAGAAAATATATATATATAAATAATAAACCAATCAGTGCTATACAGCGATGCAGCATAATGTTATATGCCCATCACAGATTGTAAAACAGTATTAGTAAAGGCACATTTCATGTCCAATCGTGGCATTAATTGGATTAGGAACATGCACAACCTGAGCCATGCATCCCCGGACAGGGAAGTGCTCTGTAAAATTTGTTTATTTGGATTCCCACAGCACGTGTTATGAGGATTTTGTTTAGAGGTGAGACGAAATGGGGTTTTGATGTTATGTTCAAGATCATTTTACTAATATACTGACGCGCATGCACGTGTGTGTTTGACTGCTTGTTCTATTCCTGACTTGCGAAGGTGTCATGATACTAGAACACTGAGATGCCATGCCGCAGTGCCAGATGGATGGCCTACTCAGAAAAAGCCTGTCCTTGGATGCAAGTGGCATATTTTGATGTCGTGTGGTATGGAGAGGCTGGGGGATCGAATCACCTACCTTCCGCTCTCCCGGGAGATGCTGTTGAGGTTTAGAAGAACTAAAACGAGCAAGACTCGTGCCGAGGTGGATTTCAAGACAAAACTATTTTTGAGCAGGGTGATACACATATCAAATAAGTTCCTTATCCGTTGCTTTTAAGCATTCAACTTGTTTGTTATTGCCCCATCTGGCAGATATGGGTACCTAGATCATACCCACTGAAATCGTGAAGTTGCAAGTATGGAGAAAACAATTCCTAACACATAGATAAATGGTGTAACTACGTGTCCAACTTCGACTCTCTGGTCTTGGGTCTTGGATACCTGAAATGCCTTCTCCCATGTCCCGCATCAGTTGAGGAAAAGGATGCAAAGTGGAGACCATATTTGTTATGATTCAGTGGCTCTAGGGGCATGGAATAGTGGTGACACATGAACGTGTCATGTGTGCCATGACATCTGACAAAAGACATTCCTGCAACATCAACCGCATTGCTCCATCGTTAATTGTGAGGCTAACGACATCAAAGTGAAGCATGGTTCAGGACAGCAGCTTGAGGTGTGTTATGTAGATTCTGGTAACACATCTGAGAAGCTCAGACACAGTTGTGTATGTGTAGCCTCATCTGAACCACACCTGGTGGAACCTCCCAACCCAACCCCAAAACATTATGTGTTTCTTGTGTTTTACACTGCAGTTAGTGTTATTCCTGTAACATGTCGTCAGACCAGTGGTTTATATCATGAGCTACATCCATCCCGTCCGGTCATCTGTCGATCAACCAAGTCGCCTACAAGCGTATCTGTCCAGTGTGCATAGTTATATCAGTGGTAACTTTTATAAATGTATATCACTTAATTTATTTTACATACGTTCAAAATGAATCATTGGTCAATAAACACATACTTTAGAAGTTCATAAATTGCATGAAATAGATTGTCATCTTTGATGAACATTTATCCGACAAGACTTTCAGATCCAGCAGCCTCTATTTCACAGACGAAATTGTGACGAACATCACAGAAATCATCATTCCACTTGAAGCCGAGACTTCTCGTCATTGTCAGACAAGCTTGGCTTTCGCCATTTTTGGTTGTGTACGATGGCGACCCCGCTGACCACCATTTCTGCCCAACTTTGCCTCCCTCGAATCCTCGCTGCCAGTCCCCCTTCACGAGATAGTCCAGGGCCCCCAACCACACGTACCCGGTACTCAGACTTGACGATGATGTGTGCAGGAACCCCTCAAGGAACGTCTGTTCTGACGCTGTTTCCACATACGCCAGATGGGCACCGACGGCTTGACAATACACGGCAGCCTCTGCCCAGCTTGCTTTGATGAGAATAAGTGCATAACAGGAGTCATCATGGCGTAAAAAACCAGAAGGACATTCTGCAATAGACCCAGCCACTGTACACAGCAAGACCAGCAGGTTTAGAGGGAACATCCTACTTAACACAAGACGTAGACAGTTGTGTCGTCGGCCAATGCTGTAGTGCCAAGTTAAAGTCTGTTCGTCACAGACTTGTCTTATCTAATATTTGGACCACTTTAAAATAGGTGCAGCTCAGCTGTTGTTTGGCTGCTCTCAGAATGAGATAAACTCTGAGACCTTACCAACATACACATTTCACAGAAACAATTCTCAAACAAACACATGTTCACTGTAAGAAACTATCTGTTTTTTGTTTTATTTCTGTTGAATATCCAATTGTTATTTAAGAAAGTAATGTATGGTTTGTCTTAGGTTTAGACTTCCCTGCTGTCATGTAACAAACAATTCAAGGGGGACAATCTGTGTCAGGTCGTGTAAGCTACTGTTGACACTTTGCTCAAGGTTAAACCCTCTGAACTATGTCAGCGTTACAAAAGAACAGTGCAAGCATTCAACAAAACTGTTTCCATTTTGTTCTCCCAAGATGTAAGGAGTAGCCAGATTGACAGACAGATAGTTTATTAACGTCCCACCTCATTTTTCATATATACATACATAACTTAAACTGCACAGGAACAAAGATGAGCTATTTCAATCCGAGTTATGGTTGGTTGGTTGGTTTGTTGTTTAACGCCGCACTTAGCAATATTCATTATGAGACAGTGGTATGAACTTGTATTTACATAACACAGCATATCCTATATAAAGGTGATAAAAGAATTGACTTTCACTTTGTGTGAATGGACGTGAAGGGAGTGGGGGAGCTTGTGACAAAAAGTAAAAGTCATTTCGTTGAATGCTTAGGTCACCATTTTGTGTGTGCATTGTTACTGTAACATTATTTCATTCAGTACAAGAACACTCTTTCGTACCAGCCATCTATATAACTACATCGTCAGATGAGCAATACCTCAGTTTGTCAGTCGCAAAGATAGCGTTGTACTCCATTGACTTCCAGCGCACGTCAAAATGGCCGACAAGGATTGTCACGGAACATGTGGTCATATTTGGTGAACGGACGGTAATTTAAAGTGATCATAGAGGTTGACTTTACTTTATGGGCTACTAAATATGGGGATGCTCTGTTCGCCAGTCGGTGGAATCATTCCATTCCAATTTTTGTACATTTGTTTTAGGTGTTGGTAAAACTGTATCCAATATAGCAATATTGTCAGAATGTAGAAGATATAGATTATATGCTGAATATCATCTGAAGTGTATAAAATACTAGTGCAAGGTATTTCATATAACAGATGGCAGATACTCTCTACGTTTTAGTTTTCATTGTAACATAAGAAGGTATGTTCTTTGATCTGATTGGCTAAAAAATGTTGTCGAATGAACATAACATCACTGATTTTTTGTTCCCATCACATGCATGTATACAGTATGAGTCATGATTATTGAGGATTGAAAAATCTTTAAAATTGTAAATATAAAAATCCCCCACCCCCCACCCCCCAAAAAAACAAAAAAAAACCAAACAAAAAACAAACAAACAAACAACAACATATTTTTAAGTGAGCACAAACCTTCTTTAATCACATCACAGTAACATCAATATTTTATCAGACCACCATTTGCTTCCAAACACAGTTTTATACGTTTGGGCATACTTCCTATGAGAGAGGTTAGAGTCTCGTGGGTGAGAGAGTCCCAATATCGCCCCACCTCGCGCTTCATGTCATCAACTTTTGTCAATCCCTTTTGGTTCACTGACTCCTTCATGAGTCCCCACACATTTTCTATAGGATTTGAGTCCGGGCTGTAGCTAGGCCAGTCCAAAACGGTCACATTGTTGTCCACAAACCACTTCCTTTCTTTTTTTTCCATCCAAGTTCAATCAAGTTTCTTCTTACTGTAGATTTGGATACGTTTACTGTCCCTCTATTTACCATTTCATCTTGGATATTTGAGATACTCGCCTTACTGTTTTTTTAAGTCAAATACGCAGTCTCACACGATCACCAAACACCAGTTTTCTAGGTCTCCCCGCTCCTTTTCTGTGCTCAATTCCTGAATCAGGAAAGGTCGTCTTCTCCATAATCAAGGGAGATAACTCTAATTTGCAACTTCTAAAATTGAAGAAGAGTTGCTTCTCTTTGACAATACCTCAATTTTAAACACCTGTCAATATTGATATTTTATGCATGCTTCCTTGAATATGACATTAAAATTCACAATAATAATTTTAAACCAGACTATACATTCATTAATGGAACTATTTTTGAAATCATCACCATGGAGGAACAGATGGAAATTTTCCCTGACTTCCACATCAGAAATTTCGATGAAATATTGAGAAAATGGGACGACGAGACATTTTCTGAAATAATTCAAGAATTTGAAGGTAAATGAAATTTTTCTTGTTCCATCAATTACACAATCATAATCATAATTGATGTAATTTTCTTTGGCTTGGCCAAAGGGAAAAGAAATCAGTTTCTTACAGTAAAAAACATTTTTTGCAACTCTATTACAGTTAAGACTTTCATACACCCACCTAATCTTGTTATTCTTGTTACAAACAACAGCTGTTGAAGTTGAAAACCGTTCAAAGATGGCCCATGAACTTGGAAATACAGCCAGCGTTTCCGTAGAGCCCGAAGTTCAAGCGTTCAGTGACCGCTTCGCGTCCCTTGATGCAAATGCAGTACAGGACATCGTGGATGGGAACCTCTCCAAATCTACTGGGTCTAATACCTCCCGGGGAGTTAAACATATTATAACGTAAGACATTGAAACATAAAAGAATAAATAAACACATACCTAAACTTCCTACGCAGATTCGAGCAACATCAGCGAGAGTTACCTCCCTTACACCATTGCCATGATAGCAGTGTAAAGCGGGACCAGTGTGTCATCGCAAAGATTGGCAAAAATACAGTAAAACGAGATTGTCAAAAATCTTAACGTAAGTTAAGTATTTCGTTTTGTAAGATTTGAGATATGCTATACTGAATGGATGTACGGATTCGATTTCATTTGAACACGCCGCCGTAATAATAACAAATTACTCCCACTTACTGCCACATTTGTACCCTGAACAAGGCAATCCTTTCACTTCAAAAATTACTTGGTTTCTGAGGTTTTGAACCAAAGTTCGAAGAGCTTCCGGCTTCTGTTTTTCTGTCCACGATAAAGAAAACTTAAGCGCTATGGCCTTGACCAGACAACACATCATATCCCCGAGAATAAATATTTAATAATCGTGAAAGCTTTGATACTGAAATTCTTTCCGGCTTGCTTCGTAAAGTGTGGTTCGACCTTACACTCGGTTTTGCTCGTCGTGGTAAAGAAAACCAAAGGGAATTAACTTCATCTTCTTTCTGTGTATCCACAGATGAACTCGAACCCCTGTTCATCTTACAGCGTAGTGTTCAAATGAAATTTCCGTACATCCATTCAGCATAACATCACGCAAATCTTACAAAACGTAATATTTATCTTCTAAATACATAATTATCTCAACCATTTGACATTTTAAGATAGAAATTTAAAAAATAAACATTTATTATAACAACATTCCTCAACAAATAACTACATTTTAAAATGATCTTTAATAGTTAGACAATTTCATTTTGGAAACAGTATAGACATTTTCGAATTAATTTGACATTCAACTCTTCGCAAAATTGACTCATATATCATAACGGTAGGAGTGTCATTTCGCCGGAAGGCGATGAAACTAATAATCATTGTGGAATATAGGCAAAAAGGTAAGAAAAGCCCTGATTATATGATTATCAAAATTGTCACTGTCAAATGAATAATTGTCACAAACGCGCTTGCCTCCAGTAAAAATCACTAAGGGACGGACCATTTTAAGACAAGAGTGCTCTGAGAGCACAACATCCCCCGCATGATTTCTTTTAACGAGTTTATATTTTCTTTGTACTTTATGAAATAACAACAGTAGATGGCACTGCATTTGAAACAAATTGTGCAGAACATTTTCTTGGGAGTAATCCAGTCTGAATGCTAATGTCATAAGGATGAAGCTCACCCATAAAAGCCTTATACAAGGAAACTAACTATAGTTATAGTTATAGTTAGATAGTGTGATATTCTCTGGAAACTGGAGGAGGAGTAGATTTCATGAAGCTCCGTAAAACAAGGGCAGTAACTCTGTCAAAATTTGTCGAAATGAAACGGGACTGCGATATGCGTATCATCAACATGTCGACATCTTGTGTGTAGAGTGCGAGGGATATACTCTGGAAACTGTAGGAGGAGTAGATTTCACAAGCTTAGTAGGCTCTCTCATAATTAGGCAAATGAAGCTCCGTAAAACAAGGGCAGTAACTCTGTCAAAATTTGTCAAAATGAAACGGGACTGCGATATGCGTATCATCAACATGTCGACGTCTTGTGTGTAGAGTTTCAGGGATATTCTCTGGAAACTGTAGGAGGAGTTGATTTCACAAGCTTAGTACCCTCAGTGGGACGGACGGACGGACAGACAGACAGACGGACGGACGGACGGACGGACTGCGCCACGACAAAATCCCCATTCGGCCATTCTGGCCTGGCGGGGGATAAAAACTACACAGCTCATAATTATGTGTTGATAAATAACTCAGCCTCCATCTGCTTGAAAAAAAACCCAACTCAATAACTAGTCTCGACCGCAATATGACCATCCCAATCAATACAGAGTATTTCATGATCAAAGCCATAATCTTTGACCGAGAGACAGTATGCCTGTAAGCCTTTTTTTATTAATAATCATTTCATATCTTGCATTTCAAGAGGCCGTAGCAGTTGTTGACTGTGAGGGGAAATCACCATTAAGTGTTTTGGTTGTGTTTTGGCGATAGATTCTCAACCATTTTGTAACACTATTCAGGGTTTGGATCCAACGTATCAAATTTTCAGTTTCGTAACGTTCTTTTGTTCGTCAGTTTACATAAAAAAATATGCTACTTAATCTATCCATCGTCCACAGTCTTAGTAAAAGTACATACCTCCAGAAGATGTGAGTACAAACATGTCAAGTTGACTAGGTTTTGAGACACATGGTGTTGTAAAAAATGATCTATCATTTTATAATAATTCTTTATTACACAGCTATTTTCATTATTCTGTATTCAAATCACCTACTTCTGAAAATGTGCCCAAAACCTAGGTCTCGTATTTGCAATTCAAGGGAAGGTAACTTTGTATAATTTCCAGTCAACAATGAATCTCAGATATTATGGTGCTTCTGTTGTAATATTGACAAGAGTTACCTGCCCTTATCATGGTCAATGATCAACTTCGCACAGCAGCTCCTACTCTTAACTTTTACCTAACCCTAACCATCCAACATATCTCTCCGACACATCCCCGTCTCCCCAACACATCCCAGTCTCTCCAACACATCCCCACCTCTCCAACACATACCCGTCTCTCCAACACATCCCCGTCTCTCCAGCACATACCCGTCTCTCCAACACATCCCCATCTCTCCAGCACATCCCCGTCTCTCCAACACATACCCGTCTCTCCAACACATCCCCGTCTCTCCAGCACATCCCCGTCTCTCCAACACATCCCCGTCTCTCCAACACATCCCCGTCTCTCCAACACATACCCGTCTCTCCAACACATCCCCGTCTCTCCAACACATCCCCGTCTCCCCAACACATCCCCGTCTCTCCAACACATCCCCGTCTCTCCAACACATACCCGTCTCTCCAACACATACCCGTCTCTCCAACACATCCCCACCTCTCCAACACATACCCACCTCTCCAACACATACCCGTCTCCCCAACACATCCCCGTCTCTCCAACACATCCCAGTCTCTCCAGCACATCCCTGTCTCTCCAACACATCCCCGTCTCTCCAACATATACCCATCTCTCCAACATATCCCCGTCTCTCCAACACATCCCCGTCTCTCCAACACATCCCCGTCTCTCCAGCACATCCCCGTCTCTCCAACATATCCCCGTCTCTCCAACACATCCCCGTCTCTCCAACACATCCCCGTCTCTCCAGCACATCCCCGTCTCTCCATCATATCCCCGTCTCTCCAACACATCCCCACCTCTCCAACACATACCAATCTCTCCAGCACATCCCCGTCTCTCCAACACATCCCAATCTCTCCAGCACATCCCCGTCTCTCCAACACATCCCCGTCTCTCCAACACATCCCAATCTCTCCAGCACATCCCAATCTCTCCAACACATCCCAATCTCTCCAGCACATCCCCGTCTCTCCAACACATCCCCGTCTCTCCAACACATCCCAATCTCTCCAACACATCCCCGTCTCTCCAACATATCCCCGTCTCTCCAACACATCCCAGTCTCTCCAACACATCCCCGTCTCTCCAACACATCCCAGTCTCTCCAACACATCCCCGTCTCTCCAACACATCCCGTTCTCTCCAACACATCCCCGTCTCTCCAACACATCCCCGTCTCTCCAACACATCCCGTTCTCTCCAACACATACCCGTCTCTCCAACACATCCCTGTCTCTCCAACACATCCCGTTCTCTCCAACAGATCCTAATCTTCTAACACATCTGGTAAGGCATGCCGCCAACCGATCTAAATGTACCTATAAAAACGTGTGCCCTCCCTGCAGCTTCACGAATTTCCTCAGCTGTAGAATTTAAGTCTTCTACTGGGAGAGTTTGCTTAACATTAATTAATCTTATGCTTGTCGTGAACAATAAAGGTGGCGGTGTTTGATAGATAGATAGATAGATAGATAGATAGATAGATGAAAAAGTGTTTTTGATTTAATGTTGTGCACCCCTGTTAACAGTAAAATGGGTTGATCAACATGCCTTCATTGTCTAAACAGCAAAGTCACTCATCCATGACGGTGCCTGGGTGGTCTAATTGCTCCTGTTTACCTGTTTTTAAAAATTAGCCGAAGCAGGTTGATACCTCTCCTAAAACCCCCAATATATCTAAGACATATACCCGTCTCTCCGACACATCCCCGTCTCTCAAACACATTCAACACATCGCCATCTCGCCACCAAATCAATAAGCGTGGGTGTATTTGACAGTTGCTAGGGGAGAAGCGTCCCGTTACCCGGAAGTGATTACAGAAGGTCAGCGTGTACAGGTGATCTAACGCGGCGGCGACGACAGGTGAGTGAATTATGTCTTTGACCCTTCTGTGGTGTTGTCACTGACACCTGGTGTCGGGACAGGGTGGTCAGATATCGGGGTTAGAGACTGTCGACACTGTCGTAATCTCCAGCTCAGCAAATTGTCACGTCTCTCACCTCAGCGGAAAATCGTAAATCATTCTGACGCTTTTTTGAGCTGTTATCATTTATCATTTGCAGGTTTGTTTTGGTTGATCTGGGCCGTGTATGAATGAGAGGTTGTGTGTCTAACACTCTGTATACGTCTCATGAAGGACTCCCAATATAACCACGGCACAGATTATAGGCATGTGTACTCTAGTGCAATCACTGATGCGGGACTTGCTTAGCGCCCATCCTCTATATATAGATTTCCAAGCGAGGGATCCAGAATGAACCTGCTATTGTTAACACTAAATTGTGTTGGCATTGTAGTGAGGGGAGATTATCACAACAGTCATTGTAAGGAGACCGAAGTACTGGTAACAGGACAAATTGGGACAAAATATGGTTTCTGCTATATATATCTTCTATTACACTTGGTACTCAGCCGAGAAGAGTACAACATCGCCACCACGCTCCTTACCCGGCCAGCTGAGGTAATCTCCTCTGGTCGCCACACACGCTCGCCGGCCGAAGCCTTGCCTTCCCACGCTTGACCCCCTCCCCCCCCAACCCACGCCCAAACTTTTCCTTATTATTGAGTTCTTTTTTACCACCCACTCCCACCCAGCCAAACCCCCTCCCCCCGCAGCTTTATTAGATTAGGTCTGTAAAAGTTACATTTTTTTGGGTCGCACTTCTTTATTTATTCATTACGCTTTTTTTCTCCAAATAGTATAAAGTGCTTCCCCGTGTGCGAAATACGCTATTAGTCGGAAAGCACACGTTAAATCTCCTAGTGTCACTCACCCTTGGTACAGAATCAAAACAACGTATCATTTGTCAATAATGTTTTAAAGACAAATTTAGTTCCTTTGTTGTTTAACGCTGCACCCAGCACCCAGTCTGGACCAGACAATCTAGTGATTGACATCATGAGCATCGATCCACGCCCGTGAGACAACCGGGGATTTGACCAGTTGAATTCTTTATTTTCTTGTCACAGCCCCGTCCAGGGGCATTGGGCTGCTAGCTGGGTCACATTGGGACCACCACTTACAGCGCTATTGGAAGTGTAATGCAATCTGATCAGGAACATTTGAGCATATTTCTCTTCCAAAAACATCACCTGCAACTTTCTTTCACTGAGAAATTGTAAAGACTGTTTACTCCCGAGAAATTAATAATATTTTGACAAATATACATATCCTGTTTTTCATATTGTCAACATGGTTAAATCCTCCATGACAGCAGGTTGTTGTATGTTACTAACACAACCCTGCATTTCATACCCTCACAATCTGAGATATGAGATTAATGTTACAAGTATCACAGCAAATATTCCCTACAACTTATAACACTCCCTGATTGTCCTAATGTCGCCAGGTTGATAAAACTTATAATGCTCCCTGATTGTCCTAATGTCGCCAGGTTGATAAAACTTATAATGCTCCCTGATTGTCCTAGTGTCGCCAGGTTGATAAAACTTATAATGCTCCCTGATTGTCCTAATGTCGCCAGGTTGATAAAACTTATAATGCTCCCTGATTGTCCTAATGTCGCCAGGTTGATAAAACTTATAACGCTCCCTGATTGTCCTAGTGTCGCCAGGTTGATGAATCTTATAACGCTCCCTGATTGTCCTAATGTCGCCAGGTTGATAAAACTTATAACGCTCCCTGATTGTCCTAGTGTCGCCAGGTTGATAAAACTTATAACGCTCCCTGATTGTCCTAATGTCGCCAGGTTGATAAAACTTATAACGCTCCCTGATTGTCCTAATGTCGCCAGGTTGATAAAACTTATAATGCTCCCTGATTGTCCTAATGTCGCCAGGTTGATACAACTTATAACGCTCCCTGATTGTCCTAGTGTCGCCAGGTTGATAAAACCTTATAATGCTCCCTGATTGTCCTAATGTCGCCAGGTTGATAAAACTTATAACGCTCCCTGATTGTCCTAATGTCGCCAGGTTGATAAAACTTATAACGCTCCCTGATTGTCCTAGTGTCGCCAGGTTGATAAAACTTATAATGCTCCCTGATTGTCCTAATGTCGCCAGGTTGATAAAACTTATAACGCTCCCTGATTGTCCTAATGTCGCCAGGTTGATAAAACTTATAACGCTCCCTGATTGTCCTAGTGTCGCCAGGTTGATAAAACTTATAACGCTCCCTGATTGTCCTAATGTCGCCAGGTTGATAAAACTTATAATGCTCCCTGATTGTCCTAATGTCGCCAGGTTGATAAAACTTATAACGCTCCCTGATTGTCCTAGTGTCGCCAGGTTGATAAAACTTATAATGCTCCCTGATTGTCCTAATGTCGCCAGGTTAATAAAACTTATAACGCTCCCTGATTGTCCTGATGTCGCCAACACAATGATCAAAACAAAGTCAATGTTCAAAATCAAAATACACACAAAGAATTGTATTATGTGGTATTCTTCACATGACATAATGATTCTTACACAAATGTCTGAGAAAGGTGCAACAATCTCATTAAAATCAGATCTTAGTTCTCTCTGCCGCTAAACAAAGATCTGAGGATATCCCATTGTGGAACACGTCAGACCGACCTTGTGCAAACTTTGACCGACCAATGGAATGACCAATCAGAAGGCAGCTCTCTCGTGTTTTACGGCACAAATTTCAAATTTGCGACTACGCTTCGAAACATATTTTGACAAATTCTCGATTACAAATTTGAAACCTGAACAAATAAACATTCTGGAATGGCTAATAGATGGTCTAGATTGTAAGGATTCAGTCGTTAAACCCGTAACTATCGTTCTGAATACCCCATGTTAGAATTTTCGAGATTTCATGATTAGAAATCACATTCCGACTGTCACTTTCATGATCTGGTAAGCAACACACTGATTGGTCGGATGAAAGATCGTTCTGATGTGACCCCTAATGGGATGTCCTCAGATCTTTGTTTAGCGGTAGCGAGAACCAAGATCTGATTTTTATGAGATTGAATGTGCAAGAAAGGACATTTTTAATATTGCTGCGCTGGTTATCCTGAAAATAGGATGAGAATTCTGTGAACAAGTTTTAGAAATACCCTTACCCTTGAAAATCCAGGGTTGATAAGATCTTCAGCAACCTGTGCTTGCCATAATAGGTGATTAACGTGATCGGGTAGTCAGGCTCGCTGACTTGATTGATGCATGTCATCATATCCCAATTGAGTAGATCGATGCTCATGATGTCAATCACTGGAATGCCTGGGCCAGACTCGGTTATTTACAGACCGCCATCATATTCCTGAGTGTCATTAAACAACAAACACACAAACAAACAAACAAACAAGAAATACCCTAGTCGGCACAGGCCTTGCACAATTTCAGCATCCGAGGCACCTAGGTTTCTGGGGACATGTGGGAAATGAAAGAGTTTACCACGGACAGTACCAGAGAATCAGCTCGCTTCAACCTTTGGTTCAGTTCAGTTCAGCTGAAGGTTCACAGAGATCATTATCATTTTGACAATAACAGCCGTAGATTAATAGAACAACCTCCGCTGCAACACCCATGACATCTGCAAGAAACAAGTTTTGTTAAAAAATTTAGAGTGAGTGAGTGAGTATGGTTTTACGCCGCTTTAAGCAATATTCCAGCAATATCACAGCGGGGGACACCAGAAATGGGCTTCACACATTGTACCCATGTCGGGAATCGAACCGGGGTCGTCGGCGTGACGAGCGAACGCTTTAACCACTAGGCTACCCGACCGCCCCTAAAAAATTTAGAACTGTCTAAAGATAAAATAACATACAAATTGACACATTACAAGAAATAATTCGTCCAATTTTGAGCACTACAGTGGTAACGGTGCATTGGGAATCCACCCCATTAACAATGTCCCAATGATACCCATGAATACTTACAGCTGCTGAATCAAATACCCAAGTGACCAGGAGACCCTCATTTATGTATCCTCTAAAAGGTATTGAACCAAATGAATGAGCACCTGTCTGTGTACAGGAGTTTGGTGTGGGAGTTCTAAAATTTAAGTGCAAAAATCAATTTTAGTCACAAGCTTAAGTTACCTGTTGCCACGCCCAGCTTGTAAGGGAAAATGTCACAATGAATAATGTCGCTTCCTCTCAGGGGCAAAATCAGGGAATTGTTAACCTATAAGTAACAGGTGTCCCAATGTGCCCCTAGCAATGTGCCCCTAGCAATGTGCCCCTAGCAATTTCCCCCCGTGCAATTTCCCCCAAGCAATGTGCCCCTAACAATATGCCCCTTGCAATATGCCCCTAGCAATATGCCCCTTGCAATATGCCCCTTGCAATGTGCCCCTAGCAATGTGCCCCTAGCAATATGCCCCTTTCAATATGCCCCTAGCAATATGCCCCTAGCAATATGCCCCTTGCAATATGCCCCGTGCAATATGCCCCTTGCAATATGCCCCGTGCAATGTGCCCCGTGCAATTTCCCCCGTGCAATGTGCCCCGTGCAATGTGACCCATGCAATGTGCCCCGTGCAATGTGCCCCGTGCAATTTCCCCCGTGCAATGTGCCCCGTGCAATGTGCCCCTAGCAATGTGCCCCTGGCAATATGCCCCGTGCAATGTGCCCCTTGCAATATGCCCAGTGCAATGAGCCCCGTGCAATGTACCCCTTGCAATATGCCCCGTGCAATGTGCCCCGTGCAATGTGCCCCGTGCAATTACTCCTATGCAATGTGCCCCTAGCAATGTGACCCTAGCAATATGCCCCTAGCAATGTGCCCCATGCAATGTGCCCTGTTGCCTGATCTGGTGTTATTAGGGTCTGTATATGGCAACCAGAATGTTTCTGTAATGAATGGGTTCTCCCAGCTTTCCCTGATCCATGGGGTTTCAGATGATAATATCCAAAGTTGTGGACAGTCATGAAATATTTGTAAGAGTCACATGGTGCCTCATTTGGATGGTAGCCGTATAAAACTCATGTGCACAGAAGTTGTATATATATCATATGTCCTGGTCAGGTAGCCTTGTGGTTAAAGCCTTCGCTCGTCACGCCGAAGACCCGGGTTCGATTGCCAAAATGGGTGCAATGTGTGAAGCCCATTTCCGGTGTCCCCCGCCGTGATATTGCTGGAATATTGCTAAAAGTGGCTCACTCACAAACTCCCTGGTGTTTCATGCAGTGTTTTCGTCAACTTGGTAGCAGGCTAAATTAAATAATTTTATGTATTATGAAGTTAGGAGTTAGTTTCTTTTTGTTTGTTTTTTATTTAAAGAAACCATTAACATAGTTAAAACAAATGTAAAAACAAACACCACAGGACATTGAATGTCTGACACTGTACACTGAATGTCTGACACAGGACATTGAATGTCTGACACAGGACACTGAATGTCTGACACAGTACACTGAATGTCTGACACAGGACACTGAATGTCTGACACCACAGTACACTGAATGTCTGACACTGTACACTGAATGTCTGACACAGGACACTGAATGTCTGACATCACAGTACACTGAATGCCTGACACAGTACACTGAATGTCTGACACAGGACACCAAATGTCTGACACCACAGTACACTGAATGTCTGACACAGTACACTGAATGTCTGACACTGTACACTGAATGTCTGACACAGGACACTGAATGTCTGACATCACAGTACACTGAATGTCTGACACTGTACACTGAATGCCTGACACAGGACACTGAATGTCTGACACAGGACACCGAATGTCTGACACCACAGTACACTGAATGTCTGACACTGTACACTGAATGTCTGACACAGGACACTTAATGTCTGACATCACAGTACACTGAATGTCTGACACTGTACACTGAATGTATGACACAGGACACTGAATGTCTGACATCACAGTACACTGAATGTCTGACACTGTACACTGAATGCCTGACACAGGACACTGAATGTCTGACACAGGACACCGAATGTCTGACACTGTACACTGAATGTCTGACATAGGACACTGAATGTCTGACATCGCAGCACACTGAATGTCTGACACCACAGTACACTGAATGTCTGACACAGTACACTGAATGTCTGACACTGTACACTGAATGTCTGACACAGGACACTGAATGTCTGACATCATTTCAGAAGCCAATGACCAGACTGCAGGTTCTAGGGCTATAGATTCACCATGGACAAGTCCAGAGCCAAGTCAAGCGAACCTTCAAGGCCGGATCTCACAGGTAATGGAACTACACAGTGTTTATAAGAAGTCTCCACTGACGACATTGTCTCATCACTGATACATTTTGTCTCTCATCTATGTGTACTGGATGTGTCCCGTATTTCCTATGTGTTTCCTTATGTCTCCTCTATGTGTATCTATCCTGTATGCCTTCTGTATGTTTCCTGTATTATTTCTGTACGTTCCTGGTATTTTGCAGTGACACTGGACGCTCTCGTGGCAGATGAGGCGACATTCCTGGGCCGAATCTCACTTCAGAGACTGAAGGTAATCAATTTGATCATTCCCAGACTGCATTGCCTGCTCCTGTTATGTTTCTTGGACTGACAACAGTCCTTCATCTTTGATCTTTCATTTAAGACATTCTTGGAGAAGAAAGCTGAAGAGGGTATTGATACTCTTGACTTTCACGCTAATGGCTACATCACAGATGCTGTCCTCCATGTCCTGCGAGATGTCCTGTGTAACAAGGTGAGTTTGTGGCTCTCTCCCACATCCTCTGTAACAAGGTGAGTCTGTGACTCTCTCCCATGTCCTGTGACATGTACTGTGTAACAAGATGAGTTTGTGACTCTCTCCCATGTCCTCTGTAACAAGGTGAGTCTGTGACACTCTCCCATGTCCTGCAAGATGTCCTCTGTAATGAGGTGAGTCTGTGACTCTCTCCAATGTCCTCTGTAACAAGGTGAGTCTGTCACGCTCTCCCATGTCCTGTGAGATGTCCTCTGTAACGAGGTGAATCTGTGACTCTCTCCCATGTCCTGCAAGATGTCCTCTGTAACAAGGTGTCTGTAACTCTCTCCCATGTCCTCTGTAACAAGGTGAGGATGTCTCTCTCCCACATCCTCTGTAACAAGGTGTCTGTAACTCTCTCCCATGTCCTCTGTAACAAGGTGTCTGTAACTCTCTCCCATGTCCTCTGTAACAAGGTGTCTGTAACTCTCTTCTATGTCCTCTGTAACAAGGTGAGGATGTCTCTCTCCCATGTCCTCTGTAACAAGGTGAGTCTGTGACTCTCTCCAATGTCCTCTGTAACAAGGTGAGTCTGTCACGCTCTCCCATGTCCTGTGAGATGTCCTCTGTAACGAGGTGAGTCTGTGACTCTCTCCCATGTCCTGCAAGATGTCCTCTGTAACAAGGTGAGTCTGTGACTCTCTCCAACGTCCTCTGTAACAAGGTGTCTGTGACTCTCTCCCACGTCCTCTGTAACAAGGTGAGGATGTCTCTCTCCCACGTCCTCTGTAACAAGGTGAGTCTGTGACTCTCTCCCATGTCCTCTGTAACAAGGTGTCTGTAACTCTCTCCCACGTCCTCTGTAACAAGGTGTCTGTGACTCTCTCCCATGTCCTCTGTAACAAGGTGAGGATGTCTCTCTCCCACGTCCTCTGTAACAAGGTGAGGATGTCTCTCTCCCATGTCCTCTGTAACAAGGTGAGTCTGTGACTCTCTCCCATGTCCTCTGTAACAAGGTGTCTGTAACTCTCTCCCACGTCCTCTGTAACAAGGTGTCTGTGACTCTCTCCCATGTCCTCTGTAACAAGGTGAGGATGTCTCTCTCCGACGTCCTCTGTAACAAGGTGTCTGTAACTCTCTCCCATGTCCTCTGTAACAAGGTGTCTGTAACTCTCCCACGTCCTCTGTAACAAGGTGAGGATGTCTCTCTCCCATGTCCTCTGTAACAAGGTGAGTCTGTGACTCTCTCCCATGTCCTCTGTAACAAGGTGAGGATGTCTCTCTCCCATGTCCTCTGTAACAAGGTGTCTGTGACTCTCTCCCATGTCCTCTGTAACAATGTGAGGATGTCTCTCTCCCATGTCCTCTGTAACAAGGTGTCTGTGACTCTCTCCCACGTCCTCTGTAACAAGGTGAGGATGTCTCTCTCCCACGTCCTCTGTAACAAGGTGTCTGTGACTCTCTCCCATGTCCTCTGTAACAAGGTGTCTGTGACTCTCTCCCACGTCCTGTTAGACGTCCTCTGTAACAAGGTGATATGGCAGAAACAAATCACTATTTTCCTGAATGGAAACAATTTGATCTTAAGTGTGGAACTGTTCTAATTAAATAAAGCACAATTTTCAGACAAAACGAGAGAAGTACCTGAGTACACTGAAGGTGATGGATCTGACTGGCTGCTTCAACATAACAGACACGGGCGTCGGCTGGGTTGGTGACATCGTGCTCCATGCATCTAACATGACCAAGGTAATGAGCATGAGGATATGTGTGTTGCCATGGTGATATCAAAGGGACAATGACTGCATTCAGATCTGTGATATCCTTGTGACCTCATAAAGATCTCATGGTGATGCCATAGTAATGTCATTGTGATGTTATGGTGATGTCATAGTAATGTCATTGTTATGTCATTGTGATGTCATTGTGATGTCATAGTGATGTCATAGTTTGACTTGAGAGTGATGTTGAGTAGCTTGCTGATGTTTCCTTGTCCCCTCCACAGGTACTTCTGGATGGCTGTGTCCGTGTGACCGATGCTGGACTGGCGGCCGTCCAGAACGCCAAGCCATCTCTATCCATCTCCGTAATGTCCACATCAGTGTGTCACTTCAACCTTGCCTATGCAACACAGGGGTGCCCCCTGCTCAAAGACGCAAATCGTAAATATTACTTTCCCTACTCGACCTTCTGAAAATGTAAATACTGTATCAGATACCTATCTCCCTGCTGACTAAACCCCTCACTCCCTGCTGACAAAACCCCTATCTCCTTGCTCTACTAAACCTCTAACTCCCTGCCGACTAAACCCCTAACTCCCTGCTGACTAAACCCCCTATGTCCTTGCTCTACTAAACCTCTAACTCCCTGCCGACAAAACCCCTCACTCCCTGCCGACTAAACCCTATCTCCCTGCAGTTACAATAATGATCACTTGCCTCAGTTGTCTCTATGCTATAACTCGACATCATGGCTACATTCAGTACAATGAATACAACCTGTCAATTGTCTCTATGCTATAACTCTACGACATGGCTACATTCAGTACGATGAATACAATCTGTCAATTGTCTCTATACTATAACTCGACATCATGGCTACATTCAGCACGATGAACACAACCTGTCAATTGTCTCTATGCTATAACTCGACGTCATGGCTACATTCAGCACGATGAATACAATCTGTCAATTGTCTCTATGCTATAACTCGACATCATGGCTACATTCAGTACGATGAATACAACCTGTCAATTGTCTCTATGCTATAACTCGACATCATGGCTACATTCAGCACGATGAACACAACCTGTCAATTGTCTCTATGCTATAACTCGACATCATGGCTACATTCAGTACGATGAACACAACCTGTCAATTGTCTCTATGCTATAACTCGACATCATGGCTACATTCAGCACGATGAACACAACCTGTCAATTGTCTCTATGCTATAACTCGACATCATGGCTACATTCAGTACGATGAAGACAATCTGTCAATTGTCTCTATGCTATAACTCGACATCATGGCTACATTCAGTACGATGAACACAATCTGTCAATTGTCTCTATGCTATATCTCGACATCATGGCTACATTCAGTACGATGAATACAATCTGTCAATTGTCTCTATGCTATAACTCGACATCATGGCTACATTCAGTACGATGAACACAATCTGTCAATTGTCTCAATGCTATAACTCGACATCATGGCTACATTCAGTACGATGAACACAACCTGTCAATTGTCTCTATGCTATAACTCGACATCATGGCTACCTTCAGTACGATGAACACAACCTGTCAATTGTCTCTATGCTATAACTGTGACATCATGGCGACAGCACTGCATTATGGATATACATTGTGTCACATGTTGGTTCTTTTCTAGACAGTAAAGAGCGTACCAAGCTGCCGTATGGTCAGACTGTGATTGTCCCGCACCCAAAGGTGGATGTCAGTCTGTCAGAGTATTTGTCCAAGAAGAAGGAAAGTAGTCGTAATGGCCGCCCACTGTGTCACGTGAAGGACTGGAACATCAAAAACTGGAAGCTGGCTCTCACTGAGATGGAACATTCCAATGTGAGTTTGATAGGGGTGTATGGATGGTGTGACACTGAGATGGAACATTCCAATGTGAGTTTGATAGGGGTGTATGGATGGTGTGACACTGAGATGGAACATTCCAATGTGAGTTTGATAGGGGTGTATGGATGGTGTGACACTGAGATGGAACATTCCAATCTGAGTTCGATATGTGTGTATTGATGGTGTGACACTGAGATGGAACATTTCAATGTGAGTTCAATAGGGGTGTATGGATGGTGTGACACTGAGATGGAACATTCCAATGTGAGTTTGATAGGGATGTATTGATTGTGTGACACTGAGATTGCACTATCGAGTTATTACCTCTTTAAAACAGCTTCTGTGGAGAGCAATACTTATTAGATGTGACACTAAAAACATTTCGAATTGCACTTGCAAGATCGATGTGGTTTTCATATGAACTCTTTATCGAGACGGGAAGATATATGGGGATCGTGAGAGAACACAGAATTTGTCAGTTGAAAATGAATACCATTTCTTACTACTTTGTCTGTTGTATGCTGAACTCAGAAAACAGTTCATTGATAAATGGTATGCTGAACTCAGAAAACAGTTCATTGATAAATGTTATATCCGTTATCTAAGTTTACAGAAATTTGTTACATAATACCATGTAAGAATGTAGTAATAACAACAACAAAATGTCAGTGTCCAAATTGCATGCTATGAAGCTAAGAAGCTCCTTATAAATGTATACACACCCAATACTATGTAACATGTTCTGTAGGCCTATGGCCTCTCAGTATTATGAATTACACACATATATATGAGATGGAACTTTCCAATGTGAGTTTGATAGGGGTGTGTGGATGGTGTGACACTGAGATGGAACTTTCCAATGTAAGTTAGATAGGGGTGGGTGGTTGATGTGATACTGAGATGGAACATTCCAATGTGAGTTTGATAGGGGTGTATGGATGGTGTGACACTGAGATGGAACTTTCCAATGTAAGTTAGATAGGGGTGTATGGTTGATGTGATACTGAGATGGAACATTCCAATGTAAGTTAGAAAGGGGTGGATGGTGTGACACTGAGATGGAACTTTCCAAACGTAAGTTAGATAGGGGTGGGTGGTTGATGTGATACTGAGGTGGAACATTCCAATGTAAGTTAGATAGGGGTGGATGGTTGTTGTGTCACTGAGGTGGAACATCCCAACATGAGTGAGATATATTTGTTTGCTTGTTTATAGCAATATTTCAGCCATGTGATGGCAGTCTGTAAATAATGGGGTCTGGACCAGACACTCCAGTGATTGACATCATGAGCATTGATCTACGTAGTTGGGATACGATGACATGCATCAACCCAGTCACCGAACCTAACCACCCGATCCCGTTAGTCACCTCTTACGACAAGCATGGTTTGCTGAAAACCTATTCTCTGCCCGGATCTTCATAGGTCCATTCCAATGTGAGTGAGATTCAGGTGTATGGTTGATGTGTCACTCAGGTGGAACATTCTAGTGTGAGTGAAATAGGGGTGTTAACAGATTGTGATGAACTAACCTGATGTTTCCTGTATGGCAGCCGCTGTTTGACATCCTGTTGCCTAGCAACCCGGCCCAAGTAGTGATCCCTGTCGACGCTGCATGTGATCCCAGTGATGCCCGGACCCACATCGCTGCCACCATCACCAGGGTGCTGGGCAAGGTGAGACATGCAATTGTACTGTCCATCATTACGCGCTGCTGTTCCCCTGTCAACCTGGCCATGCTTCACGAAACAATTCATTGCTGTGAATGTATTTTCCAGAAAGGTTGATACTCGTCATCTCCGCAAGCAAGAGTGAGTGAGTGAGTTGGGTTTAACGCCACTTTTAACAGTATTCTATTTATATCACAGCGTTTCAATCTCTGTGAGAGGAAAGCCCGAAGTGATGCAGGTCTCAGACATTTACCACTTTGTTGAAACCCACGAGCACGGGTATGGTGCTGACAAACCTAGAAACATAATCAGGGTGAACCGGGATTCGAACCCACAATCATAGGTGTCTGGCGTGCCAAGGGACGCAACTCTGCACAGCGAATTGCGGCACCTTAGACGACTGGGCCACCCGTGCCTCCCGCAAGCAAGAGAGTCACAGCTTAATAAGAACAGTGAGTCTCAGTTGTGTCCACAGCACCTGTCAGGGACCCTTTCAACACATTGTGACAAAACTGTCACAGCTCGACATTGGATCATGGGAAATATGTACTGCAACTAACTGGTTCTTGTTCCAGGAAACAATAAAGCCGTATTATAAGAAGCAGCATATGGAGATAAGGAGGCACCACAAAAGATTCATGGACGTTCACCGAACAACCAAAGTGAACATGTCTGAGGAGGGAGTAATCACGTAAGTGTCGTCTGTAAGGTAAGTGGTTTACCTGTGTCTGCATTGTGTTGGTGGTTTACCTGTGTCTGCATTGTGTTGGTGGTTTAACTGTGTCTGCACTGTGTTGCTGGTTTACCTGTGTCTGCATTGTGTTGCTGGTTTACCTGTGTCTGCATTGTGTTGGTGGTTTAACTGTGTCTGCACTGTGTTGCTGGTTTACCTGTGTCTGCATTGTGTTGGTGGTTTACCTGTGTCTGCATTGTGTTGGTGGTTTAACTGTGTCTGCACTGTGTTGCTGGTTTGCCTGTGTCTGCATTGTGTTGGTGGTTTACCTGTGTCTGCATTGTGTTGCTGGTTTGCCTGTGTCTGCATTGTGTTGATGGTTTGCCTGTGTCTGCATTGTGTTGGTGGTTTACCTGTGTCTGCATTGTGTTGCTGGTTTGCCTGTGTCTGCATTGTGTTGCTGGTTTGCCTGTGTCTGCATTGTGTTGCTGGTTTACCTGTGTCTGCACTGTGTTGGTGGTTTACCTGTGTCTGCACTGTGTTGGTGGTTTACCTGTGTCTGCACTGTGTTGCTGGTTTACCTGTGTCTGCACTGTGTTGCTGGTTTACCTGTGTCTGCACTGTGTTGCTGGTTTACCTGTGTCTGCACTGTGTTGCTGGTTTACCTGTGTCTGCACTGTGTTGCTGGTTTGCCTGTGTCTGCATTGTGTTGGTGGTTTGCCTGTGTCTGCATTGTGTTGGTGGTTTGCCTGTGTCTGCACTGTGTTGCTGGTTTGCCTGTGTCTGCATTGTGTTGGTGGTTTGCCTGTGTCTGCATTGTGTTGGTGGTTTGCCTGTGTCTGCACTGTGTTGGTGGTTTGCCTGTGTCTGCATTGTGTTGGTGGTTTGCCTGTGTCTGCATTGTGTTGGTGGTTTGCCTGTGTCTGCATTGTGTTGGTGGTTTGCCTGTGTCTGCATTGTGTTGGTGGTTTGCCTGTGTCTGCATTGTGTTGCTGGTTTGCCTGTGTCTGCATTGTGTTGCTGGTTTACCTGTGTCTGCATTGTGTTGCTGGTTTGCCTGTGTCTGCACTGTGTTGCTGGTTTACCTGTGTCTGCACTGTGTTGCTGGTTTGCCTGTGTCTGCACTGTGTTGCTGGTTTACCTGTGTCTGCACTGTGTTGCTGGTTTACCTGTGTCTGCACTGTGTTGATGGTTTACCTGTGTCTGCACTGTGTTGCTGGTTTGCCTGTGTCTGCACTGTGTTGCTGGTTTACCTGTGTCTGCACTGTGTTGATGGTTTACCTGTGTCTGCACTGTGTTGCTGGTTTACCTGTGTCTGCACTGTGTTGCTGGTTTAACTGTGTCTGCACTGTGTTGATGGTTTACCTGTGTCTGCACTGTGTTGCTGGTTTACCTGTGTCTGCACTGTGTTGCTGGTTTAACTGTGTCTGCACTGTGTTGGTGGTTTGCCTGTGTCTGCACTGTGTTGCTGGTTTACCTGTGTCTGCACTGTGTTGCTGGTTTACCTGTGTCTGCACTGTGTTGCTGGTTTACCTGTGTCTGCACTGTGTTGCTGGTTTGCCTGTGTCTGCACTGTGTTGGTGGTTTGCCTGTGTCTGCACTGTGTTGCTGGTTTACCTGTGTCTGCACTGTGTTGCTGGTTTACCTGTGTCTGCACTGTGTTGCTGGTTTACCTGTGTCTGCACTGTGTTGCTGGTTTGCCTGTGTCTGCATTGTGTTGCTGGTTTACCTGTGTCTGCACTGTGTTGCTGGTTTGCCTGTGTCTGCATTGTGTTGCTGGTTTACCTGTGTCTGCACTGTGTTGGTGGTTTACCTGTGTCTGCACTGTGTTGGTGGTGTGCCTGTGTCTGCACTGTGTTGCTGGTTTGCCTGTGTCTGCACTGTGTTGCTGGTTTACCTGTGTCTGCACTGTGTTGCTGGTTTACCTGTGTCTGCATTGTGTTGATGGTTTAACTGTGTCTGCATTGTGTTGCTGGTTTACCTGTGTCTGCATTGTGTTGGTGCTTCACCTGTGTCTGCACTGTGTTGCTGGTTTGCCTGTGTCTGCACTGTGTTGCTGGTTTACCTGTGTCTGCATTGTGTTGGTGGTTTACCTGTGTCTGCACTGTGTTGATGGTTTAACTGTGTCTGCATTGTGTTGCTGGTTTACCTGTGTCTGCATTGTGTTGGTGCTTCACCTGTGTCTGCACTGTGTTGCTGGTTTGCCTGTGTCTGCACTGTGTTGCTGGTTTACCTGTGTCTGCATTGTGTTGCTGGTTTACCTGTGTCTGCACTGTGTTGCTGGTTTGCCTGTGTTGGTGGTTTACCTGTGTCTGCATTGTGTTGCTGGTTTACCTGTGTCTGCACTGTGTTGCTGGTTTGCCTGTGTCTGCATTGTGTTGCTGGTTTACCTGTGTCTGCATTGTGTTGCTGGTTTGCCTGTGTCTGCATTGTGTTGCTGGTTTGCCTGTGTCTGCATTGTGTTGGTGGTTTACCTGTGTCTGCACTGTGTTGCTGGTTTGCCTGTGTCTGCATTGTGTTGCTGGTTTGCCTGTGTCTGCATTGTGTTGCTGGTTTGCCTGTGTCTGCATTGTGTTGGTGGTTTACCTGTGTCTGCACTGTGTTGCTGGTTTGCCTGTGTCTGCACTGTGTTGCTGGTTTACCTGTGTCTGCATTGTGTTGCTGGTTCACCTGTGTCTGCATTGTGTTGCTGGTGTGCCTGTGTCTGCACTGTGTTGCTGGTGTGCCTGTGTCTGCATTGTGTTGCTGGTTTGCCTGTGTCTGCACTGTGTTGCTGGTTTACCTGTGTCTGCATTGTGTTGGTGGTTTGCCTGTGTCTGCACTGTGTTGCTGGTTTACCTGTGTCTGCACTGTGTTGCTGGTTTACCTGTGTCTGCACTGTGTTGCTGGTTTGCCTGTGTCTGCACTGTGTTGCTGGTTTACCTGTGTCTGCATTGTGTTGCTGGTTTGCCTGTGTCTGCACTGTGTTGCTGGTTTACCTGTGTCTGCACTGTGTTGCTGGTTTGCCTGTGTCTGCATTGTGTTGGTGGTTTGCCTGTGTCTGCACTGTGTTGCTGGTTTGCCTGTGTCTGCACTGTGTTGCTGGTTTGCCTGTGTCTGCATTGTGTTGCTGGTTTACCTGTGTCTGCATTGTGTTGCTGGTTTGCCTGTGTCTGCATTGTGTTGGTGGTTTGCCTGTGTCTGCACTGTGTTGCTGGTTTACCTGTGTCTGCATTGTGTTGCTGGTTTGCCTGTGTCTGCATTGTGTTGCTGGTTTGCCTGTGTCTGCATTGTGTTGCTGGTTTGCCTGTGTCTGCATTGTGTTGGTGGTTTGCCTGTGTCTGCACTGTGTTGCTGGTTTGCCTGTGTCTGCATTGTGTTGCTGGTTTGCCTGTGTCTGCATTGTGTTGCTGGTTTGCCTGTGTCTGCATTGTGTTGATGGTTTGACTGTGTCTGCATTGTGTTGATGGTTTGACTGTGTCTGCACTGTGTTGCTGGTTTGCCTGTGTCTGCATTGTGTTGGTGGTTTGCCTGTGTCTGCACTGTGTTGCTGGTTTGCCTGTGTCTGCATTGTGTTGCTGGTTTGCCTGTGTCTGCACTGTGTTGCTGGTTTGCCTGTGTCTGCATTGTGTTGCTGGTTTGCCTGTGTCTGCATTGTGTTGCTGGTTTGACTGTGTCTGCACTGTGTTGCTGGTTTGCCTGTGTCTGCATTGTGTTGCTGGTTTGCCTGTGTCTGCATTGTGTTGCTGGTTTGCCTGTGTCTGCATTGTGTTGCTGGTTTGACTGTGTCTGCATTGTGTTGCTGGTTTGCCTGTGTCTGCACTGTGTTGCTGGTTTGCCTGTGTCTGCATTGTGTTGCTGGTTTGCCTGTGTCTGCATTGTGTTGCTGGTTTGCCTGTGTCTGCATTGTGTTGCTGGTTTGCCTGTGTCTGCATTGTGTTGGTGGTTTGCCTGTGTCTGCATTGTGTTGGTGGTTTACCTGTGTCTGCATTGTGTTGGTGGTTTGCCTGTGTCTGCATTGTGTTGGTGGTTTGCCTGTGTCTGCATTGTGTTGCTGGTTTGCCTGTGTCTGCATTGTGTTGCTGGTTTGCCTGTGTCTGCATTGTGTTGGTGGTTTGCCTGTGTCTGCATTGTGTTGCTGGTTTGACTGTGTCTGCATTGTGTTGCTGGTTTGACTGTGTCTGCATTGTGTTGCTGGTTTACCTGTGTCTGCACTGTGTTGCTGGTTTGACTGTGTCTGCATTGTGTTGGTGGTTTGCCTGTGTCTGCATTGTGTTGATGATTTGCCTGTGTTGGTGGTTTACCTGTGTCTGCATTGTGTTGCTGGTTTACCTGTGTCTGCACTGTGTTGCTGGTTTGACTGTGTCTGCATTGTGTTGATGGTTTACCTGTGTCTGCATTGTGTTGATGATTTGCCTGTGTTGGTGGTTTACCTGTGTCTGCATTGTGTTGCTGGTTTACCTGTGTCTGCACTGTGTTGCTGGTTTGCCTGTGTCTGCATTGTGTTGGTGGTTTGCCTGTGTCTGCAATGTGTTGCTGGTTTGCCTGTGTCTGCATTGTGTTGCTGGTTTGCCTGTGTCTGCATTGTGTTGGTGGTTTGCCTGTGTCTGCACTGTGTTGCTGGTTTGCCTGTGTCTGCATTGTGTTGCTGGTTTGCCTGTGTCTGCAATGTGTTGCTGGTTTGCCTGTGTCTGCATTGTGTTGCTGGTTTGCCTGTGTCTGCATTGTGTTGCTGGTTTGCCTGTGTCTGCATTGTGTTGGTGGTTTGCCTGTGTCTGCATTGTGTTGGTGGTTTGCCTGTGTCCGCATTGTGTTGGTGGTTTGCCTGTGTCTGCATTGTGTTGGTGGTTTGCCTGTGTCTGCATTGTGTTGGTGGTTTGCCTGTGTCTGCATTGTGTTGGTGGTTTGCCTGTGTCTGCATTGTGTTGGTGGTTTGCCTGTGTCTGCAATGTGTTGGTGGTTTGCCTGTGTCTGCATTGTGTTGCTGGTTTGCCTGTGTCTGCATTGTGTTGCTGGTTTGCCTGTGTCTGCATTGTGTTGGTGGTTTGCCTGTGTCTGCATTGTGTTGGTGGTTTGCCTGTGTCTGCAATGTGTTGGTGGTTTGCCTGTGTCTGCATTGTGTTGGTGGTTTGCCTGTGTCTGCATTGTGTTGATGGTTTACCTGTGTCTGCATTGTGTTGATGATTTGCCTGTGTTGGTGGTTTACCTGTGTCTGCATTGTGTTGGTGGTTTGCCTGTGTCCGCATTGTGTTGGTGGTTTACCTGTGTCTGCATTGTGTTGGTGGTTTACCTGTGTCTGCATTGTGTTGGTGGTTTGCCTGTGTCTGCATTGTGTTGGTGGTTTACCTGTGTCTGCATTGTGTTGGTGGTTTGCCTGTGTCTGCATTGTGTTGGTGGTTTACCTGTGTCTGCATTGTGTTGGTGGTTTACCTGTGTCTGCATTGTGTTGGTGGTTTACCTGTGTCTGCATTGTGTTGGTGGTTTACCTGTGTCTGCATTGTGTTGGTGGTTTGCCTGTGTCTGCATTGTGTTGCTGGTTAACCTGTGTCTGCATTGTGTTGCTGGTTTACCTGTGTCTGCATTGTGGTGATGATTTGCCTGTGTTGGTGGTTTACCTGTGTCTGCATTGTGTTGGTGGTTTGCCTGTGTCCGCATTGTGTTGATGGTTTACCTGTGTCTGCATTGTGTTGGTGGTTTGCCTGTGTCTGCATTGTGTTGATGGTTTACCTGTGTCTGCATTGTGTTGGTGGTTTACCTGTGTCTGCATTGTGTTGGTGGTTTGCCTGTGTCTGCATTGTGTTGGTGCTTCACCTGTGTCTGCATTGTGTTGGTGGTTTGACTGTGTCTGCATTGTGTTGGTGGTTTAACTGTGTCTGCATTGTGTTGGTGGTTTGCCTGTGTCTGCATTGTGTTGATGGTTTACCTGTGTCTGCATTGTGTTGGTGGTTTACCTGTGTCTGCATTGTGTTGGTGGTTTGACTGTGTCTGCATTGTGTTGGTGGTTTAACTGTGTCTGCATTGTGTTGGTGGTTTGCCTGTGTCTGCATTGTGTTGATGATTTACCTGTGTCTGCATTGTGTTGGTGGTTTACCTGTGTCTGCATTGTGTTGGTGGTTTGCCTGTGTCTGCATTGTGTTGATGGTTTACCTGTGTCTGCATTGTGTTGGTGGTTTACCTGTGTCTGCATTGTGTTGGTGGTTTGCCTGTGTCTGCATTGTGTTGGTGGTTTACCTGTGTCTGCATTGTGTTGGTGGTTTACCTGTGTCTGCATTGTGTTGGTGGTTTGCCTGTGTCTGCATTGTGTTGATGGTTTACCTGTGTCTGCATTGTGTTGATGGTTTACCTGTGTCTGCATTGTGTTGGTGGTTTGCCTGTGTCTGCATTGTGTCGATGGTTTACCTGTGTCTGCATTGTGTTGCTGATTTGCCTGTGTCTGCATTGAGTTGATGGTTTACCTGTGTCTGCATTGTGTTGGTGGTTTAACTGTGTCTGCATTGTGTTGGTGGTTTGTCTGTGTCTGCATTGTGTTGATGGTTTACCTGTGTCTGCATTGTGTTGGTGGTTTACCTGTGTCTGCATTGTGTTGGTGGTTTGCCTGTGTCTGCATTGTGTTGGTGGTTTACCTGTGTCTGCATTGTGTTGGTGGTTTACCTGTGTCTGCATTGTGTTGGTGGTTTGACTGTGTCTGCATTGTGTTGATGGTTTAACTGAGACTGCATTGTGTTGGTGGTTTGCCTGAGACTGCATTGTGTTGGTGGTTTAACTGAAAATACAATGTGTTGATGGTTTAACTGAGAATGCATGGTTATGGTGTTTCACCTGTTTCTGCATTATGTTGATGGTTTTCTGTTGACTGCTGCAGGTGTCTGACGAAGGTGTTGGGCGTGTACGTGTCTCGACAGCCGCTGAGCCGCAGTAACCCCTACTTCCAGGTGGAGAACCTCGGGGAAGACAGCACCAACAACCTTCAGATCATGATTGGATGCACCTTTGACCGAGGCATCATGCCCACCCATCCGAAGCATGACTCGGGGGAGTCTACACTAGTCACGTAAGTGTCTCCCACACACTGGACCCTCATGTAGGTGTCTCCCACACACTGGACCCTCACGTAGGTGTCTCCCACACACTGGACCCGGGAACATCTACACTAGTCACGTAGGTGTCTCCCACACACTGGACCCTCACGTAGGTGTCTCCCACACACTGGACCCTCACGTAGGTGTCTCCCACACACTGGACCCGGGAACATCTACACTAGTCACGTAGGTGTCTACCACACACTGGACCCGGGAACATCTACACTAGTCACGTAGGTGTCTCCCACACACTGGACCCTCATGTAGGTGTCTCCCACACACTGGACCCTCACGTAGGTGTCTACCACACACTGGACCCTCACGTAGGTGTCTCCCACACACTGGACCCTCACGTAGGTGTCTCCCACACACTGGACCCTCACGTAGGTGTCTCCCACACACTGGACCCAGGAACATCCGGGGTAGAATAGGTTTTCAGCAACCCATGTACCCGTGAACACCCGGGGTAGAATAGGTCTTCAGTAACCCATGTACCCGTGAACACCCGGGGTAGAATAGGTCTTCAGCAACCCATGTACCCGTGAACACCCGGGGTAGAATAGGTCTTCAGCAACCCATGCTTGCCTTAACGAAGAGCTTGTCGTAAGAGGCGACTAATGGGATCGGGTGATCAGACTCTGACTTAGTTGATGCATGTCATCGATCCCAATTGGGTGGATTGATGCTCATGATATCGATCACTGGATTATCAGGGTATAGACTTGATTATTTACAGACCGCCGTCATATAGCTGGAATATTGCTGAGTGTGGCATTAAACAACAAACAAATCAAACCAAACAAAACCCACAGACTGTGTGTTTATATCCAGTAGGACCTGTCTGCCTGTCTATATCCAGCTGTATTTGAGCACACTTGTACTTCCTTCTACAGGTTCCTCATAGCCCCTGGGGATGTGGTTGGCTTTGGCGTGGAAGGCGAGTGGGAGTCGGAGTATATGCCAAAGGAAGGCAGTTCCAATTTCTACTGTATCAAGAATGATGAAATGGTAAGATTGAATTTATTGGTATACAATATGTGATAGTCAAATATCTCATAGTAATACACGAAAATTTCTTAGGAAAAGATAAAAATTTATTCCTAAAGATGGCTGCCTCCACCAGTCATCAGGTAGCTTCCCATGGACGAAGAAATGTGGTCAGAAACTATGGAAATGAACCAGGTATTTTTGGTCCAGGTCACCCCCGCTGGAATAGTGCTGAATGTTGCATAAAAGAACATTCACTCACTAACTTGCTCATCTGTACAGGAGCATGGCTATGTCTTCCAACATCATCAACACACATTTACCTGTACCTACAGGTGTAGATTGACCATATACTTGCTGATTGTACTTACCTGTACCTACAGGTGTAGATTGACCATATACTTGCTGATTGTATTTACCTGTACCTACAGGTGTAGATTGACCATATACCTGCTGATTGTATTTACCTGTACCTACAGGTGTAGACTGACCATATACTTGCTGATTATATTTACCTGTGCCTACAGGTGTAGATTGACCATATACCTGCTGATTGTATTTACCTGTACCTACAGGTGTAGATTGACCATATACCTGCTGATTGTATTTACCTGTACCTACAGGTGTAGATTGACCATATACTTGCTGATTGTATTTACCTGTACCTACAGGTGTAGATTGACCATATACTTGCTGATTGTATTTACCTGTACCTGCACGTGTAGATTGACCATATACTTGCTGATTGTATTTACCTGTACCTGCAGGTGTAGATTGACCATATACTTGCTGATTGTATTTACCTGTACCTACAGGTGTAGATTGACCATATACTTGCTGATTGTATTTACCTGTACCTGCTGGTGTAGATTGACCATATACCTGCTGATTGTATTTACCTGTACCTACAGGTGTAGATTAACCATATACCTGCTGATTGTATTTACCTGTACCTGCTGGTGTAGATTGACCATATACTTGCTGATTGTATTTACCTGTACCTGCAGGTGTAGATTGACCATATACTTGCTGATTGTATTTACCTGTACCAACATGTCACACAGCACAACATTGACACAACAGAACAACATTGTCACAACAAAACATGACCTTGACACAACACAACAGAACAACCTTGACATTGCACAACAGAAGAACATTGATGACACAACAGAAGAACATAGACAACACAACAGAACATTGACACAACCCAGGAGGACAACCTTGGCACAACACAATAGAACAACATTGACAACACAGCAGAAAAATTGACACAACCCAACAGAACATTTATGACGCAACAGAACAACATTGACACAACACAACAGAACATTTATGACACAACAGAATAGCATTGACACAACATTATAAAACAACATTGACACAACACAACAGAACAACATTGACACAACATTATAAAACAACATTGACACAACACAACAAAACAAAATTGACAACACAACAGAACAACATTGGCACCACACTAAAGAACAACATTGACAAAGAAGACACTAAACTGACAAATGTATCTAGATGTGTGCTGCCTATAAATAGTGACATTATGTTGCCAGATACTGAATGTGATCTACAAGTATCCCCCTCGACTTGGCATGTACCCGTTCCTGAATATGGAGGGGAAGAAAGGTGAACCCCAGATCCGACTCTGCAACTTTGTCCCCAGACCACCGGTATGTAGCAGCATGTCTAGATTTGTTGCAGGTCGGCTTTGTTAACGTCCAAGGTCGGCTTTGTTAACAACCAAGGTCGGCTTTGTTAACAACCAAGGTCGGCTTTGTTAGCAACCAAGGTCGGCTTTGTTAACAACTAAGGTCAGTTTTGTTGAGAACCAAGTTTAGATTTTTAAACCAAGGTTGGTTTTGTTGACACCCAAGGTCGGCTTTGTTAACAACCAAACATGATAGTCACAGTAGCTGACTTGAGCAAGGTACAGTTCCAGTTTCTTCAATGTTAATATTATTTTGTGGGGTTTTTTTCAGAAAAAGGGAAAAGTGTGTTTTGAGCCTTGCTCTGCAGATTACCTCCAGTTTAATGAAGAGGGCATTTTGTCGTAAGTATATTTTGAAGTGGGAAGAGCAGAGGAATTTGGTTCATACAATGAAAGAATGAATGTTGTGCAAATCCTCTATTAGATCTATGAGAATAGTCTGTAATGATGCATTATTCACTTCTTCAGTGGGATATATTCCTCTGTAATGTTTAATGATTGGTATATGTAGGATATACTAGTTCATCACACACACACACACACACACACACACACACACACACACACACACACACACACACACACACACAAACATACCTAACATGCTACTCATCTTATCAGTGCTGGGAGAATGTGGCAGTTTACTGACTGACTGACTTACTCACTGACATCCACACACTTACTTACTCACTCACCCACACTCACTTACTCACTCACTCACCTACACTCACACACTCACTCACTCACCCACACTTACTTACTCATCCACAGTCACTTCACCCACACTTACTTACTCACTCACCCACACTCACTTACTCACACACACCCACTCACTTACTCACTCACTCACCTACACTCACACACTCACTTACTCACCTACACCCACTCACTAACTCACCTACACTCACACACTCACTAACTCACCCACACTAACTTACTCACCCACACTCACTTACTCACCCGCACCCACACACTTACTCACTCACTCACTCACCCACACTTACTTACTCACCCACACTCACTTACTCACCCACACCCACACACTTACTCACTCACTCACCCACACTTACTTACTCACCCACACTCACTTACTCACACACACCCACTCACTTACTCACTCACTCACCTACACTCACACACTCACTAACTCACCCACACACACTTACTCACCCACATCCACTCACTAACTCACTCACACTCACTTACTCACACCCACTCACTTACTCACTCACCCACACTCACTTACTCACCTACACCCACTCACTTACTCACTCACTCACTCACCTACACTCACACATTTACTTACTCACCCACACTTACTTACTCATCCACAATCACTTCACCCACACTTACTTACTCACTTACTCACCTACACTCAAACACTTACTTACTCACCCACACTCACTTACTCACCCACTCACTTACTCACCTACACCCACTCACTTACTCACTCACTTACTCACCCACACTCACTTACTCACTAACTCACCTACACTCACACACTCACTTACTCACCCACACTCACTCACTTACTCACTCACCCACACTCACTTACTCACCTACACCCACTCACTTACTCACCCATACCCACACTCACTTACTCACTTAACCACTCACTCACCTGACCGCCTCCGTTGTCTTGTGGTAGAGCGTCCGCCCGGAGAGCGGAAGGTCCAGGGTTCGATCCCGGGCCGCGTCATACAAAAAGACGTTAAAAGATTGTACTTGTTGTTACCCTGTCTGGCGCTCGGCATTAAGGGGCTAAAACAAGGACTGGTCGGCTCGGAATCAGTATACTGTGTCTGAGTGGGGTATTCATGTTAAACTGCGGCATGGTATCTCAGTGAGCTAGCACTATAAATCGGCATCAGTCCGGACTAGTACAAGCAGCCACACACACACATACACGTGCATGCACGTCGCTATATAAGTGCAATAATCTTGGACGCGACGTTAAACCCAATTTCACCTCACCTCACTCACTCACTTACACTAACCCACACCCTTACTCCCTCACCCATACCCATACACTTACTCCCTCACCCATACCCATACACTTACTCACTCACCCATACCCACACACTTACTCACTCACCCACATCCACCCACACACTCACCCACACCCACCCACACAACTACTCACTCACCTACACCCATTCACTTACTCCCTCACCCATACCCATACACTTACTCACTCACCCATACCCATTCACTTACTCACTCACCCACACCCACCCATACACTCACCCATCCCCACACACCTACTCACTCAACCACACCCACACCCACCCACTTACTCACTCACTCACCCACACCCACACCCACCCACATACTCACTCACTCACCTATACTCACCAACACACTCACCCATACCTACACACTCACTCTCTCACCCATACCCGCACACTTACTCACCAACACCCACCCACATACTCACTCACTCACCCATACTCACCAACACACTCACCCATACCTACACACTTACTCACTCACCCATACCCACGCACTTACTCACCCACACCCACCCACACACTTACTCACCCACACCCACCCACATACTCACTCACTCACCCATACTCACCAACACACTCACCCATACCTACACACTTACTCACTCACCCATACCCACGCACTTACTCACACACACTTACTCACCCACACCCACCCACATACTCACTCACTCACCCATACTCACCAACACACTCACCCATACCTACACACTTACTCACTCACCCATACCCACACACTTACTCACCCATACCCACCCACCCACTCACCCATACCCAACCACTTACTCACTCACTCAACCATACCCACCCACTTAGTTACTCACTCAACCATACCCACCCACTTAGTTACTCACTCAAACACTCACCCATACCTACACAATTACTCACCTCCACCTGCCCATTTACTCACTCACCCATACCCACACACTTACTCACACACTCACCTATACCCACACACTTACTCACTCACTCACCTATACCCACTCACTCACTCACTCACCTATACCCACCCACACACTCACCCATACCCAACCACTTACTCACTCACTCAACCATACCCACCCACTTACTCACTCACCCAACCACACCCACCCACTTAGTTACTCACTCACACACTCACCCATACCCACACACTTACTCACACACTCACCCATACCCACCCACTTACTCACACACTGACCCATACCCAACCACTTACTCACTCACTCACCCATACCCACCCACTTACTCACTCACCCAACCACACCCACCCACTTAGTTACTCACTCACACACTCACCCATACCCACACACTTACTCACACACTCACCCATACCCACACACTTACTCACTCACTCACTCACCTATACCCAACCACTCACTCACTCACCTATACCCACCCACACACTCACCCATACCCAACCACTTACTCACTCACTCAGCCACACCCAACCACTTAGTTACTCACTCACCTACACCCACCCACTTAGTTACTCACTCACACACTCACCCATACCTACACACTTACTCACCCATACCCACACACTTACTCACACACTCACCCATACCCACACACTTACTCACTCACTCACTCACCTATACCCAACCACTCACTCACTCACCTATACCCACCCACACACTCACCCATACCCAACCACTTACTCACACACTCACCCATACCCACACACTTACTAACTCACTCACTCACCTTTACCCAACCACTCACTCACTCACTCACCTATACCCACCCACACACTCACCCATACACAACCACTTACTCACTCACTCACACACACCCACTCACTTACTCACTCACTCACCTACACTCACACACTTATTTACTCACCCACACTCACTTACTCACCCACACCCACTCACTTACTCACCTACGACCACTCACTTACTCACTCACTCACCTACACTCACACACTCACTTACTCACCCACACTCACTTACTCACCCACATCCACTCACTAACTCACCTACACTCACACACTCACTAACTCACCCACACTCACTGACTCACCCACACCAGCTCACTAACTCATTCACTCACACTCACTTACTAACTCACCCACACTAACTTACTCACCCACACCCACTCACTCAACCACACCCACTCACTTACTCACCCATACCTACACACTCACCCATACCCAACCACTTACTCACTCACTCACACACACCCACTCACTTACTCACTCACTCACTAACCTACACTCACACACTCACTTACTCACCCACACTCACTTACTCACCCACATCCACTCACTTACTCACTAACTCACCTACACTCACACACTCACTAACTCACCCACACTCACTTACTCACCCACACCCACTCACTTACTCACTCACTCACACTTACTCACCCACACCCACTCACTCAACCACACCCACTCACTTACTCACCCATACCCACACACTTACTCACTCACTCACCTACACTAACCCACACCCTTACTCCCTCACCCATACACTTACTCACTCACCCATACCCATACACTTACTCACTCACCCATACCCATTCACTTACTCACTCACCCATACCCACACACTTACTCACTCACCCATCCCCACACACCTACTCACTCGCCTACACCCACCCACTTACTCAATCACTCACCCACACCCACACCCACACCCACCCACTTACTCACTCACTCACCCACACCCACACCCACCCACATACTCACTCACTCACCTATACTCAACAACACACTCATCCATACCTACACACTTACTCACTCACCCATACCCACGTTCTTACTCACCCACACCCACCCACATACTAACTCACCCACACCCACCCACATACTCACTCACTCACCCATACTCACCAACACACTCACCCATACCTACACACTTACTCACTCACCCATACCCACGCACTTACTCACCCACACCCACCATCCCACACACTTACTCACCCACACCCACCCACTTACTCACTCACTCACCCATACCCACCCACTTACTCACTCACTCAACCACACCCACCCACTTAGTTACTCAAACACTCACCCATACCTACACAATTACTCACCTACACCCGCCCACTTACTCACTCACCCATACCCACACACTTACTCACACACTCACCCATACCCACACACTTACTCCCTCACTCACTCACCTATACCCAACCACTCACTCACTCACCTATACCCACCCACACACTCACCCATACCCAACTACTTACTCACTCACTCAACCACACCCAACCACTTAGTTACTCACTCACACACTCACTCATACCTACACACTTACTCACCCACACCCACCCACTTACTCACTCACTCACCCATACCCACCCACTTACTCACTCACTCAACCACACCCACCCACTTAGTTA